CTCAAAGGCAATATACAAGATGAAACCTCCCCCAAACAAAAATAGGACAGCATTATGAAACGTCATACATGACTTGTGATTGACTGCAAGTCCCAAGCATCATGTCACGTGCCACACTGTGTGCCGTCATTTTCAAGGAAAGGCTGACCATTGTTGCAAAAATGAATCACCTTTTCTTTTTTTAAAGTGCCTCCGCTTACTGTAAGACTTCAAGAACAGATTTTCTTCTTGGTTTTCCCAGCATCTATAAACAAACTTTCAAGATGTCACACTGCTAAAAATTGAATTCTGCAAACTAGAAAAAAAAATCGTTTCAAGAAAAGAATTCTTAGAAACAAATGTGGGAGTGAGACAAGAAAATATTTTCTTATATTTTAAGAGATAGAAGAAAATCATTTTGTGCAGTGCAGTGTAACAATATTTGGGTTGAAATGGCCAGACTTTCATGTCGGGCTTGACATCTGGCACTTCATGAGGAGATTTGCATCAGGGTGCACGACCGATTCTTACCAGCTGTACGCGTTCTTTCTCTGTCAGCGGCGTGCATCTTCTCATGGAATGCTGATGATATTGACCGGCTCAAGCAAGCCAAGCAAGCCCATTTGATCGCCCAGTAGGTCCACGACCCTTCTGATGATGTGATCCTGGACAGCATCAACAAGAAGGCACTGGCCTGCTTCTGCAGAAGGAAGACCCGGGGTGTGGAGGAGACTACCCGCATCATCAAGAACCTGCTTAGCCTTGACCAAGGCGTTGGGCTTATCGATTCGCCGATAAAAAAAAAATCGCCGATAAGAAAATCCCTAATCAACTTGGCAAGGCATAATTGCGTGCACATATCGATGCCCGTACGCTGCTTGCGAGAAAGTAACTTGTACCATACAGCAAGGCTATGCTTGTACATGTACATGTACGTACGCACGTACATCACACACGAACTCGTACAACAGCCATGCACACACAGTACATGTACATGTACATGCATGAGCTTGTCCGCGTAACCCAACGCCTTGATGGTTTTGAGTTGACCCAGCAAAACCTATTGAGGTAATGAGGTACCACCCCCGCGTATATACTGAGTTCTCATTGGTCAGCCCGCGATAGGCTAACAAACACGTCGCATCCGCGAAGAAACGCTGCAATGGTGGCCCGTTGCTGTGGGTGAAAGTCGTTCAGTCCCAGTCTGTCCGAAGCAGTATTGAAGGCTCCAACAAATTCTGCAGGTAATGCTGTCATTAGACGATCGTTGCCCACTCAAATGGATTCATTACACGAGCCGAAAAACTCGAATCAATGTCAAATTGTTGAAAAAGTGACGAACATTTCGCTCTCGCTAAAAAGACATGGAAGACGCCATGATGACTAATGCATTATGCATGCCGCGCGACGTCACATGATTCTTGTGAAGCTTACGATTGGTCAGCTTAAAAATGAATTAATCATACTATTGGGAAGGTTGTTTCATGTGATTGGTCCAAGACGACCTACATAATCATCACGGCATACCCGCATACCTGAAGCCCGCCCATTTTTTTCCAAAACTGGACGAAAAAGTAAAGAAAGACATTAAACCCGGAAGTTGCAGACCCAACAAGGCGGTCGTTCGACAGGCCACGCGGCGCGTATATCCCCCACACGTACACTGTACGTACGTACGTACACCCACACGCAGAACATAGTAGGCCTACGTTTACTGCCTTATTACACCATGCGTACAGTCCGTACTCACGTGTGTGTGCTTGCTGGTTGTGTTAGTACCGAACCGTTCGTACGGACAAGGGTCGGTGGTACACGCACGGACAAGGGTCGGTGGTACACGCACGGACAAGGGTCGGTGGTACACGCACGTAACTGCGTTGATTGTGGGTGCTAGGGCCCGATTATCTCCCTTCGACAAAAAGCCGAGAGACCGCATTGAACAAGGCTAGAACCTGCTTAACATCCTGAATGGACAGCAGGGGTGAGACACCCTGGGAGTTCTCCTTCTGGCCTCGACCCGCATCTGGGAGTCTAAGAAACGGCACATCGCCTGCTTCCAGGACCTGCCTGGTGTGCAGCTCTACACCAAGATGGGTGAGACCGTAGTAGGTGAAGTGACACTTCCGGTCTTCCAATGTGCCCATTGGTCAAAGTCACTTGAGTCCTTCCATCTCCATCTCGACCTATTCATCCCTGGTCAGGCTTTTTGTAATATTAACTAGATTGTTCACTTATCCTATATATATATGGCCACAAACGTTCTGCCTGTATTGTTTCAACTCAATATGCTCAAGCCTATAACTTAAGTTGCAATATATCAGCAAATACTTGTTACACCAGGAACATGATGTTATTGCCTTGATTCATTTTGACAGGAACAGTAGCCAACGACGTCCACTTCCAGGCATACTTGATGGAGGGACTGGTTCACTGGAATGAAGATTGTGCTGCACATGCCTTGCTGACCGAAGCCCCAGAGCATCGAGTTTACAGCAGGTATCTGTATTTTAATATTTGCATTTTTGTTGGCAAAATTGTTAATGCCCAATCATTTAAATAGGCAACATACTGAATTTGTAAACTTTGAAGTCGTATGCGTATTTCGTAAGTTTTGTGTTTCTGTTATTAATTTTAGAGTATCCTCTGACTGATGGCTGGCGGCAGAGCCTTCCTGAGGCTGACCATGGTTGGATGTCACAGGCACTCTTCAGGCTGTCCAAGAAGGGGAAACCAGAGATAGACTACAGCAAGGTCAACCGCCTTTGGTACAACCCTCCCGAGCCACACCTCATCCATGGTCAGCCACCAAGGGCTGCCCACTTCTTCGCCCACAGGCTTCTACTCTGGATGCCATGGAGGTTGTGGGCACTGAGGCTCACCTGCCCCACCGACACCTGCAGTGACCGGGAACTCCACTCAGATAGCATGTACCTGCACGTGCACCAGGATGTAGATATCAACAGACACTACAACCTGGCAGCTGAGTACCTGGAATGCTCCCACTGCAGGCGGAAGCTCATCAGTTGGAGCCAGCCCTTTCTGGAGCAGCTGGACCTCGGCCACCATGTCCAGTTTCCTGCTGTCCTGACGTACAGGCAGGCTTGTGACGTCAGGGTGGTTCTCCTCCTGCGCTCCAGAAGGCTTGGGAACAACACCTACCAGCTCCACCAGAAGCTCCACCAGCAGCCCAGCGAGGCCTGGCTCCAGAAGACGGCCCACTACCTGTCCCAGTGCCACGAGTACACTCGAGCCAGTGAACGTGGCCTGATCTCCCGCCCCTCGTTTGAAGAACTTCCCCCCATGTCCCCAATTCCCAATGGCTGATGACTGTCTACTGTAATGATGTCCTGCAGCGCATCAACGAGACCAAGGCAGCCATCACCTCAACCTTTGGCCGGGTGTTGAAGTTGGATTCAACCAAGAAGGTAACGAGACCTTTATTTTGTCCATAAACCTTTTTGTAATGCAAAATGTAATTCCTGCAAAAAAATTATAAGCACAAACTCTTACCAACTGGAGGGTATCTGCATGTAAATGACACATTTTTTGATCGGTACTTAAAGGCAACATACAAGATGAAACCTCCCCCAAACAAAAATAGGACAGCATTATGAAACGTCATACATGACTTGTGATTGACTGCAAGTCCCAAGCATCATGTCACATGAAACACTGTGTGCTGCCATTTTCAAGGAAAGGCTGCCCATTGTTGCAAAAATAAATCACCTTATTTTTAAAAGTGCCTCTGCTTACTGTAATACTTCAAGAACAGATTTTCTTCTTGGTTTTCCCAGCATCCATGTACAAACGTTCAAGATGTCACACTGCTAACAATTGTATTCTTCAAACTAGAAAAAAATCTTGTTGCAAGAAAAGAACTCTTAGAAACAAATGTGGGAGTGAGACAAGAGAATATTTTCTTATATTAAAAGATGTAAGAAAATCATTTTGTGCAGTGCAACAATATTTGGGTTGAAATACCCATCCCTACATACAACTCTTTCTAAAACTTGCAGCAAAAGCAAATGTTGTGCATCATGCATATTTTCAAGTTCTAATAAATAATAACCATTAGTTTTCACATTATATTCAAATGTAGGTGGCAAAGAAACTTGCCGGACACTCTCGAGGTTCTGTAGCATGGGCTACCAACGTAGGGAACGAGCACGGGCAGGTTCTTATGTGCATGTTGACTGCTGCAGAAGGCCGACCTTGTCACACGGTACCAGACTGCCGGTGTGCCCCCATCCGAACTTCCCTACATTGACAGAGACTAATGCAGTACCAAGTTGCACTTCAGTGGCTGGCCAGACTTGCAAGTCCGGCTTGACATCTGGCACTTCATGAGGAGATTTGCATCAGGGTGCACGACCGATTCTTACCAGCTGTACGCGTTCTTTCTCCGTCAGCTATCAGCGTGCATCTTCTGATGATATTGACCGGCTCAAGCAAGCCAAGCAAGCCCATTTGATCGCCCAGAAGGTCCACGACCCTTCTGATGATGCGATCCTGGACAGCATCAACAAGAAGGCACTGGCCTGCTTCTGCAGAAGGAAGACCCGGAGTGTGGAGGAGACTACCCGCATCATCAAGAACCTGCTTAACATCCTGAATGGACAGCAGGGGTGAGACACTCTGGGAGTTCTCCTTCTGGCCTCGACCCGCATCTGGGACATCTGGGGGTCTAAGAAACGGCACATCGCCTGCTTCCAGGACCTGCCTGGTGTGCAGCTCTACACCAAGATGGGTGAGACCGTAGTAGGTGAAGTGACACTTCCGGTCTTCCAATGTGCCCCTTGGTCAACGTCACTTGAGTCCTTCCATCTCCATCTCGACCGATTCATCCCTGGTGAGACTTTTTGTAATATTAACTAGATTGTTCACTTATCCTATATATATATATATATGGCCACAAACGTTCTGCCTGTATTGTTTCAACTCAATATGCTCAAGCCTATAACTTAAGTTGCAATATATCAGCAAATACTTGTTACACCAGGAACATGATGTTATTGCCTTGATTCATTTTGACAGGAACAGTAGCCAACGACGTCCACTTCCAGGCATACTTGATGGAGGGACTGGTTCGCTGGAACGAAGATTGTGCTGCATATGCCTTGCTGACCGAAGCCCCAGAGCATCGAGTTTACAGCAGGTATCTGCAGTACTCTGTGGACCAGCTCGGCCAGCGTGTGCTCGGCAAGAGTATTAACCCTACCCACACCAAACCACAGCAACACACTGGTGCGTATTATAACATTTAGAGGTTTGCTGCTAATTGTCATTGAATATAATGCCTAAGGCATGCACATTGATTGTTTAAAAAATTGTAATCTGTGTGCCACTTGAAAAAGACGACCAAAAAAGTGCTGGTTTGCATTCAAATTGATTTCAGATGTCGTTTCAGAAAGCACTGTTTGAAGACCATATTTCAACGTTTTATCCAAAAAAGTGTATGTGATGAACTTTGAAAACATGCAAGGCAATTTTTTTTTATGTATGGTATTTTTTTTGGTGACTTCAGGAGAGCGCATCGGGGTAGAATACCTCTTCCAGCAAACCAACAAGGTGCTTGGAGTGTATTCCCCTGATGATGCGGGCTACCAGGAGGAGGAGGCGGGCATGGATCCCACCATTCCCCCCCCCCCCATTGAGGAGATATCTCGCTCCCCTCCCCTGGTGACGCAAAGGCCTGTCATAGAAAGTAAGTAAAAAGTGGTTTAATTATGTTCTTAGCTTTCCGAAGGACAGAAAAGGTCTACGTGTATGTGTGCTCAGGTGCTGTTGTAAACCGTATACTTTTCTGACAATTTTGTTACATTTGTCTCACAGCAGCAACACTGTCACTTAGACGAGGCTTCCAGCGGCAACTCATGCTTGCCAAATGGCCTGGTTCAGGTGCACCACCATCGCCACCACCGCCACAGCCTCCACCAGCCCCAAGGTCAACGTGCCCACCAAGCCCCTCATCCTCTGCTCGCCAAGCAAAGCCTGCCACATTGTCCAGGAAACCACAAAGTCCTCCATCATCAAGTATGCCTTCTTAGACACCCAAACCACCAGTCCTTGAACCTCCCCATGTTGACGACCCCTTGGACGTCAAGGGAACAGAGGAATCCCTAAGTACGCACCTGCTAGAAATAGGCAACACATTTTGCAAGTTATCGATTCATGCATTCCAAAATTAAATTTATGACTTCCTTGCAATCTTGCCCATGTACTGCAGGAAGAGGCTGTTGGGCCAGACGACATCCCTGGCTACGACAGGGTAGAGACTCTGGCTAACTACCTGCTTCGGTTTCGGCACAAGAGTGGGGTCATCAACCGGGGTTGACATAATAATCAAACTGTGGAATGACCTCCACTGTTACGATCAAACTGTCAGATGGAAACCACACCACCAGTCCAAACTCACCAAGGGGCAGTTCAAGCCAGCTAGAGGAACGACAGTGATACCTGGGCTGGACAGCACCAGAAGGTATGCAAACACTACTGTTTCTTCAATACACAAGAAAATTCTACCAATGCTGCAAAAGGATCTCTCCCACTGGATACCACAGTGCACCAACATCTACAAGCCAGAAGAATGGTTATGTATTTGAGACTTTGGTCCGCACTGCAATTGTTTTGACAGTTTCTACATTAAATTTATTTGTTAACTTGTTTTTTTTATTTTTTATTTTATGAATTTCTATTTTTAATGTTCTTTGCAGATGTTTCTTGGGTAAGAATGCTGGTCCAGATACCCGGCCGGACAGCAACAGGTATATGGAGTGCCTCATCGACAAGCTGTGCTCCCTCTTTCCGGGACAGGTCCGAGAGCGGGGTAGGACCACACAGCGATGGGCGCTCATATCCTAGGCCTCTAGAACATCAGAAATATGGTGCTGTCCAATGCCTCACTCACCAGGCACACTCAGCTTCAGCTGATGGAGATCAATCAAAGGACTCTCATCCAGTGGTATGAATTTGTATATTTTATTTTGTTAATCGTTTACTAACCCAACAATTAGAAAAGATTGATGGCAAATGCTAATGTACTTCACATCTTAGTGCCAATCGATGGAAAAAAAAACATCGAACATGTAACATTTTATGCTTGGAAACAATTTTCTGAAAAGGCAGTAAAAGGTTTGCCAGATTTTAAATTTGTTTTCCTGTTATGTAAAATTATCTAATAAAACAAAGATTGCCATAGACGGCCATTTGCTTTTAATTCTTCTTCTGTAATTAGAAACAATGACAAATCCAAGAAGAGAGAACGGCAGGTCCTGAAGATGGGCATCACTCTGCTACGACCCCCCATGACAGCTCCAGAGCCCCTCCCTGCTGCGGTAGAGAAACCCATCAGCTTGAGTGTGCCTGGTAATCCCCGTCCGTTCCAGTTCCAGGACCCTGAGGACATGGCTGTAGAAGCCAAGCAGCGAGCGCCTCGCACCCAGCCTGTCCCACGCCCCATTCCGGTGCCCTCAACCCAGCCTGCACCGCCCATGGTCACCGTCATAATTCCTGCTGCTCCCCCCAGGCTCCAAGCGTAAGGTCACTAGCCTCGTGTCCTGCCATGTCCTAAGGTCCCTCCACCACCCCATCAGGAGCTGAAGCCGCTACCAAGGAGTACGGCAGCCTACCGCCGTAAAGCAGCCAGGAAGGATGAAGAGTCTGGGAGCCCGAGGAAGAAGTATGCCGCATGCCGCACGCATGAAGATATCCGTTTGCAGCAAGTGCAAACAGCCTCGGGATTTCAAGAGCCACACCCAGTACTATGGCAGCTGGTACTGTACCAACACAGCCAAGGCGTCGTTTGAGGAGTGGTGGGCAACAATGGTTGCCAAGCATCCGGAACAGCGGGGGCAACCCCCCATGACAGCTCCAGAGCCCCTCCCTGCTGCGGTAGAGAAACCCATCAGCTTGAGTGTGCATGGTAATCCCCGTCCGTTCCAGTTCCAGGACCCCGAGGACATGGCTGTAGAAGCCAAGCAGCGAGCGCCTCGCACCCAGCCTGTCCCACGCCCCATTCCGGTGCCCTCAACCCAGCCTGCACCGCCCATGGTCACCGTCATAATTCCTGCTGCTCCCCCCAGGCTCCAAGCGCAAGATCACCAGCCTCATGTCCTGCCATGTCCTAAGGTCCCTCCACCACCCCATCAGGAGCTGAAGCCGCTACCAAGGAGTACGGCAGCCTACCACCGTAAAGCAGCCAGGAAGGATGAAGAGTCTGGGAGCCCGAGGAAGAAGTATGCCGCACGCACAAAGATATCCGTATGCAGCAAGTGCAAACAGCCTCGGGATTTCAAGAGCCACACCCAGTACTATGGCAGCTGGTACTGTACCAACACAGCCAAGGCGTCGTTTGAGGAGTGGTGGGCAACAATGGTTGCCAAGCATCAGGAACAGCGGGGGCAACCCAGGAGTACGGCAGCCTACCGCCCTAAGGCAGCCAAGGAGGAAGAAGAGTCTGGGATCCCAAGGAAGAAGTATGCCGCGGCACCAAGATATCGGTTTGCAGCAAGTGCAAACAGCCTCGGGATCTCAAGAGCCACACCCAGTACTACGGCAGCTGGTACTGTGCCAACACAGCCGAGGAGTCATTCAAGGAGTTGCGGGTAAGGATGGTTGCCAAGCGTGAGGAACGGCTGGGGCAACGGGAATGAAGACAGGGACCGTAAAGATGATTTTAAAAACTATACATGAACACAAAAAATATCACTACGAAATGTTGACATTTCTTGGTAATTTGGAAGAAAGTGATCCAACTGGTAAAATCAAGGGAGAACTATGCTCTCTCCTGGGTAAAACAAAAAAAAGGAAGCAAATTCCAAACTTACTGGTGATGACCTGCACAAGCATCTGCTGAGTAAGATAGTGAACTCTTTTCAGGCAATTGCCATTTTTTTTAGTTAGAAATTTAGCTAGTATAATAACCTTTATAAGGGAAGCTGTTCAATATCTAGTTTCTGGCTATGAGGGGATTGTGCAGCATGGGGCTTGTCAACAAAATCCTGAGAGGAGTGGCTTAAACAAACTGTAGGGATTCAACGAGCTTATGCCAACAAAATACATCTTAGTGTCAAATTTATTAAAACTTCACCCTTCGTTTAGAAACTTAGGAGTGTCATTTAAAACAATTTACAATCTAAGAAATGAAATTCGGGAAATGTTAAAAGAACCGCTAGTATGATTTCTTTCTTGACAGGTTTTTTTTACGGGACTCTCCCTCAAAACAAACATGTGACAGGCTCTGCAGAAATGAGTCGCTTCTCTCACAGCCTATTTCCATGTACAGGGTGGTTCAAAGTTGGGAGGTTGAAAAAAATAACGTAGAAAATCGTTATTCGGATTTGATTTTATTTTGCTTCTTTGGTATCCTTATTTTCATATTTATTAATTAGAAATATTGTTTTTGATCTTTAAAGAGGAATAAATGAACGTGTTTGTGGACCCTTTTGAATTAAATTGTCCATTGTTTCAGTAAAAAGGCCCTTATAAATGCTACTTCGACGTTTCTTTTTTTTTGTTGGGAAAACGCACCTCCTACATGCACAAAATGGTATTGACTGAAAGCTGTGATCTTCCTCTCTCCAAATATGGGCAAAACATGGGTCAAAGGCCTTATGCTAATAAGTAAATTACTGATTTACACATGTAAACAACGTACCGTTCAGAGCTGCTTGTATCTAAGGAAGTGTTTACTTTGGGTCACGTGTGGGAAGTGCCCATGTAATTAGACAATACCCTAGCATTGCTAAATTGCACATGTGCATAAGGCATGTAGTCATGGCTCACTGGGCTGCCAATTTTATGCTGTGCGTGTACTGTGAATTCTTACTCATTACAAATATGACCTTTTTGCGACTCAATTGCTCCGTTTTTTTGGGTAATCATTTGATAAAACCAAAGCAAACATGGGAGATCGAGAACAGCGGTTTGCTGAGGCCATGAATGACCTCCAAAGCGCCAATATCCTTGGTCTAGAGGGCAGACTTGTGGAGAGTTTACTTCAGCTCGCCCAGCTGAAACACAGCTGATTGTTTCGGTTCCGACAACAAATCGTCAATAAAGAGGAGGACCCTGATTCTTCTCTCGATGAACTCGAAATTCATTCTTCGAATGAAGAATCTGATACAGAGTCAGAAGAACCAGATCAACCCCTGATAAATGTTGAGATTGAACCAGACAAAGAGGTTGAAGCTGGAAATAGGGCCAACGGTCACCGGAGGAAAGCTATGGGGTTTCTCTGCCACTGCAAGCTGCATGACAGAGATGCATGTTCTAGCAGATACACGGTTGGGGATTTCGTGAATTCCCGCTACAAAATGTCAGAGCTTACTGAAGGTAGTTTTAGAGTTTTTTTTCAGAAAGAATATTTACGATTCTATCAAACTGACCAGAACATATTTTCATGGCCCAATTTAACTTTATTAAAAATGGGGCCGCATTCCTTGGCCTTCATATTAAAACAAATCTAACAAACATTGATAGCTCTAGGGCCTAAAGAAACAAAATGAGAGAACAGCAAGGTAGGCCTATTGCTTTGCCCTTTGCCTTGTTCTGTAGTTTGTGGACATTTGTTTGTAAATGATGACGAGGAGGCGCCATCCAAGAGCCAGCCCAAAGACCAGCCCGAAAGAATCGTGATGCAGCCCCTGAAGAAGCTGCTGGATGGCAAGGTCGAACAGATCAAGGAAACCGTAACGACTACTACCTATGCCAAGGGTGTCCTACTGTGCGTCAAGAAGGAAGAAAGAGTGTATGACCTCGTCGCCTAGACCCCGCATGCCCTTGTTAGTCAAAAGTTTTGAGAATGTTTCAAGCAAGTTTAAAATTAAGGTTTCAATAAGTTGACAACAGTTTCGATAGAGTTCGTTCGATTTCACAAAAGTTTGGAAGTGTTTTTGTTATATTGTGAGTGGATTATTAAACTGTATTTCTGTACTACAAAAGTAGACAAAATGATACATAAACGATAAAGAAAGGATAAAGAAAGATTACACCTGCAGGATGATCCAGAGATAATCATAACAACTTGGAAGACTTTGAAAGACAGAAGGAAGATGTACATGTAGTTATTAGCACTTAGAGATGATTCTAATCAGTGCACATGACTCAGTGCACATGACCACTTACAGTTCGTGATGGAATGCACTAAGGTGTCATATTCATTTCATTACATCATACTACAAAAAAGAGGCATGTTAATATTCAAGTGGCATAGGTCGCTACTGCGTAAAGCGCTCGCCTCTCACCACTGTGGCCCTGGTTCGTTCTTGTGAGTAGAGTTGTGCGTTGGTTTTCTCCTGTGCCACAAGGGCTTTTCTCCCCTGCGAGTAAGGATGATTAGCCTCCCAAATTATTATTCTATTTTTTAAATCAGTTTTTCTAAGCTATTTCAACAAACAGCGTTGACAATTTCTGGTTTGACAAAAGAATCACTGCTACACATTTTTTTTCAATTGGGGTAAGGACAAAACCCTCAAAAGCAATTATGAGCTTTCACGGATTAATATCTAAGCAAATTGAGCAGTTTGAGCACCAGATGAAGATTATGAATGCAAGAACTCGCTTAGTACAAGAATAACAAAACTGTAAAACAAAACCAGTATGGTACTGAACATGGCGTCAGACTCCGGTATAGGGTCCGTGCATCAACAGTAGAGGGCAGCCTGTAGTGTACTATGAGAGCCAAGTGAAGGTAGTACCTTGACATCAATGGCGCATGCATTGATGTCTAACCCTAAACACATGAACAATCAATCTTGACTGACTGTTTGCAAAACTGTTTGTAGAGTAATCATTTTGACAACAAGAAAATGCACCTCCATGTGGGTTCAGTACAATGCCTTCACCCAATGCTATAGACCTTTTGCTTTGCGGGTATCTCAGAGGGTACTCAAGTCTATCCTAGCAACACAAAACCATCGCCCTCTAACTCCGCCTTAAGGCATAAGGCCTATGGTGATTTTGACATATTCACTGCTTCAATAAAATAGTTGCACATTTGGCAAAATTGCAATTTAATTATTTGTTTGAAAGTTGAGAACATTACATGATCTTGAGTTTGCTGCAGTAGATCTGTGAGACGGTGTCTTGTACTCGGTCCTCTATCATCTGATAGGCATCTCTCCATGGTGAGGTGGATTCCATTCGACTGGCCAATCTGATTTAAAACAAGAGCAAAAGTCACATTTAATTCCCACTTTGGAATGTGGTCATATTTCATGACAGCAAATATGTTTCATTGAGAAACAAATTCAATATGCTTTCAATGAGGCATATACCTTTCTGCTGCTGCTGAATACCTTTACTGGTCAAAAATTGATCTTTTGGTCTAAGAATAGCTCAAAATTGCAAATTATTCTACACTGTTAATTTTACTACTGCAGAAAGGAAACACATACAAGTGGTAGGTCAACAACAAAGTACCTTCTCATGGCCCGTAGGACCAAGTCCGCCATCTTCATGTTTCTATCCAGTATGAGATCATTCAGGTATAGAGTCAGATGATCAATATCCTCATCTCCTGGTTCTGATTGAAACAAAGAAAAACATCAACCAATCATGTCAAAGTAACAATCTTTTTACCGAAAAACCAAACACAACTAATATAACCTAGAAACACCTGGCTCTCAAATCGGTTTGTAACATAATGCAAGTATAGACTTTGTCAATTACATGAACGCTCATCGTACGTGCGTGATTAGAAACCACAAGCCATTCGCGCATCATTACAGACCACGTGGCGCAGTCTGTTTTGCTAACGAAATATGCAACGAAGAAAAGGATACAAATGTTGTGACTAGGTTAGATGTCTATGGATAAAACACATTTGTAACAAATGTCCAATTTCTCACACTGAATAAAAATACTTTAATATACTGAAGATTAAATTTTTATAATCCTCCAAAAATGCTTAACATGATCTTTTTAATAAAAACCCCCAGTCCAAATTTTTACTAAAAGATGGCTACTAAATTCATGTTTTTTGTTTAAAACCTGTTTCTGACAGTAAGTTTGATATCAGATGTTTCCCCTTCACCACACAACTTGTTGTTTGTCCTTGCAAAGCACTTTGAGTTCTTGGTTTTTGAAAACGTGCCAAATTTCAATCCACTTGTTTTTCTTCAGTGTACATGCTACGCACCTTCTACTGATGTGGTCCATTCTTTCAGCAATGCTTTGACATCCCATAATGCCACAGCACCACAGAGATTGACAGGTTCCTTGGTTGCTGTCTGCATCACATCATCCGCGTTAGTGCTACCATGTACATCCTGATTGCCATCAGCTGTAGGTGCTGTGCAAAACAAAACATGAACAAATGAACATGTTGCTGACGTACTCATTTACCTTGTAAGCTTACATGATTTCTGAATCAGCTTATTACTAAAGAAGTGGTGAAGCACACTCTTTGCACTATACACACAATTTGGACAGGGTATAAAGGCCCAGGTGAAGTCATGGTGGCTGCACAACAAGTTGTTGGATATTTGCTCATTTTAGGTAGTTAGTGCAAGGTTATTCACAAAGACAGTGATTTCTGGTGCAAATATTGGCAAAGCGCTACCGGTATGTACTGCTTTGTTAATGCTCAAGCCAAATTAAAAAAAGGTCTGCTTCCGGTTTTTTTTGCAATTTTTTTTGTGTACAATCATATGGAGGTGTCTGCGTGTAATCAAGGGTAAAAGGTACAAATTGATGGTTTCGGTTTTTTCCTCGTTTTTCCCATAAAAAAATTAGGGTAGGGGCTGTCAGAATAGGGTAGGTAGGGAAACTGGAAGCAGAACTATTTTGGGGTTTTTTGGTCTCACATATTTGGGCAACTTTTCAGTATGCTTTGCCAGACAGTACATGCACATGTAAATTTATGGTAGAACATTGGGCATTTCTTGACCATTTACTCTATTTGTTCAAACTAAAACACATAAGCTCAGTCAAAATGTGTATTGTAAAGGGTGGTGTTAAGATTTGACACTCATGACAATTTTGGTACCTAGTTTTGTTTTATCGGAGAAGTTTTTCTGTCTAGTTTTATCCCTTGTCATTGCGCTGACACTGATTTGATTGGAATGTTTCTCTGAAACATTATAAACAATAAGTGTTCAAAACATTTAGTTGTTGAGATTTCAACTTTCACTTAACTTAAAGAATGCTTTCAATATGCATACAAGCAACGTGCTTCACATTTTGTATCAATATGTGTATCAATAGTTGTATCACATTTTGTATCACATGTTGTATTTGATGGTTTAGTCTTCAAGCTATCTAATGTTCATCAACAACATTGGAGGATATACATTAGTGTATCCCCTAGACAGGAATAATAGCGCAAAGTGATGTGCGTACCATCAGAATGAGGTCCTGTGGAGCTGATCGAGCCATTTCCAGCCTTCCCAGCTGGTGAGCTCTTGACACCAGTAATCATCTCCAGAATGCCCACCATTCCTGGGATCTTAAAGCCCTGCTTGGCACCCTTACGAGGACTAGACTTGCGTGGTCTCCCCCTCCTCCTATGCAGCTTGAAGGGACTCGTCCTGGGTGCTGAGGAGGCCTTTGTGGGGCTTGGTTCTTGGGATGTAGTCTGCTGTCTCTGATAGGCCAGTTGCAGTTCCTTTTGTAGCTCAGATGGGAGGGCCTCCATACAAGATGGATCAATCTACATGTACAACAATGTGAATAAGAACATGTCATCAATGATAAAATGCTATCCATTTAATAGTAAAACCCTTGAATGTGATTGCGTGCCTTATTAAAAGGGATTGTTTAAGGCAATATGTGATGCGATCAAGCTACATGAGTTGTTTGTCGACCCTGGTCAATTTGTATTTTTTTTACAGATTTGAAAAGAGCACAATCTCAGCATAACTGCTGTGAAAACTGCATGCTGATACCATCTTTAGTTAAAAAATTATGGAAGTCGGAACACCAAGAGGTGTGATGAAGTGATGTGATGATTGAAGTGGTCCTATTTTGGCCTGAATCTCCAAATAAAACTTCCCGACAAATGACTCATTTAGCTTGATCGCGTCACATATGATGATTGATGCTAGACTTCCAAGTCACAATGTAATATTTTTAAAAGAATGATACACCTTGGCTTGATTTTTAAGGGAAGGGAAAAAGATTCATATCACCTGCTATAAATGACATTACTTCCCTAAGAAATCCCTGTTTGACATTCATGTTCAGTATTACAAGGAGGAACTACAGAAGTATACAATTATAAAACCTTTAGTAACTGTACTACATTGTATTAATTCACAAATGAATCCTTAAAAACACATAGTGCTCTGGTAGTTTGGTGCTCTAAAGGGAATAACAGACAGGGTAGCTTGGAGCGGTTCATTCTTTTCAATTGTGGATAATGAAGTGTGAAATTCCTTGTTAACGGCAAGAATCAAAGTGTCAATTACATGTAGTGACCTGAATTATGGAAATGGGTCATTCTATAAATTTGGGGTCCAAAGTGTGACATTTTTCCCGTCCCTGTTACCTTGGTACTTTGTAATTTGCCATTCAAGTATCATTAAAAATGACTTCAAATGATGTTTTATTTGTTGGGTAGGTAGTCTGCTGTTCATAATCACTCTTGGAGGACGACTGCATTGAGGAGTGAATTAAAATCATAAATCATAGATGTCAGATGTAACAGGGACAGGAACAAAAGTGGACCCCAAATTTATAGAAAGACCCAAATGGCAGATGAACTTTTTGTCAGGGTGAGTTAGGAAGTCATCACGTTACATCTAAAGTCATTATAGACATCATGGAACACAAGGTTTAATTTGACATATTTAATGAGGATTCCGGTCTAAGTAAAAGACTTGTAGCCCATACTTAAATTAGGGGAGAATGCAAAATTAAACAGTCATAACTTAAAGTTTACCTCAGGGTTTTGCAAGGCTTAACAGGTTTTGTGGGGTACCTCAGGGTAAAACCTTGAGTTACCCCTTGTTTAATTCTGCATTCTTCTTTTACACAGCTAAATGCTGCTAAATAAACTATTAAATAGAATTATGAAAAGGGACTCCATTCCCTTCCAATACCTGTGAAAATGATGGCAGTGCTTCCACAGGACCCACAACGTCTTCATCTTGCACTGTCACCAACTCATTCAGCCCCTGGTCTGGTTGCCTCTTTCCACCCCCTTCTTGCTCCATTAACTCCCGCACAATGTCTGCTGGCAGTTCCTTCAATACACTTGGATCATACCCAAGATGAGAATGGTCTATGCCAGATGACGTACTGGGCTGGTGTTGGCCTGTGCCAATACGGGTTGTACCATTTGAAGTACTGGGTTGGTCCATCACTGTTCTTTCACTGTTTGTGGCTGTCCTGGAGGAATGTGCTGCAACAGGAATTTGAGCGTGTTTGTGATATAGATCAGTGTTTGTAGATTTATGAACAGCTGAGCTTCCATTGGTGCTTTGATTGTTGGCAGTGTGCCCATTTTCCTCTTTGCCGCTCACAATGCTCGGTCTTGATTGATGGGATGTTGAGGCTTGCATACTGGTTGAGGATTTGGAGTGCTCAGGTTTTGTACGATCCAGAGATGTGCTGTTACTGCTGGAGCTGGATGTACACACACTAGGCCGGCCCTCAGATCTGCTACAAAAACCAAACCAAAGTGCATTTTTACATTTTAAGTCTTTAACCTTAACTCCTAGGGTGATTTACTACATCCTTGCAAATCACAACACCTATACAGTTGTACTCTGTTTATTTGTGGTATGCCTAATCCCATGTAGAGCACAGTCAGTTTACTAGTGCAGTACTCATCCTAACAGATTCCAACAACACTGGTATTGTACTTTGGCTGGTTGGAGATCATTAGGGTTAATTTATCTGATAAGAAATTCCTAATTGGAAAGATTACAAAAGTTCTGTCGATGTTGGACATAAAAACCCATCACCTTAACATTTTTGAGGAAAATAATTTTGGGTGTGTGTGCTCTCTTTGTTTAGCTTATCTGTAAAAATACAGAAAATAACAATCAGTAATTTCAGTAAAGTTGTGAATTATTCCCACAAGCCAACAGAAAATACCGAGTATACAGTGCTTATAAAATAGTTGATGAAGGGCGAAAAAAAAAAATTCTATCTCATAAAAAATATCATACCCAAACCTACCAAAGGCTTAATTAAGACTAGTATAACTGGAACACTTGAACTGAAAAGCCTAAAAATGTCGCAACTAATTTGTCTTTCTGGGAGAAAATTCCATTTTTCTCGACTAGTCCTTCAAATGTGCCTTTTTATACAACACCTGAATAAATCCCCGTCATCTGATTGGTGAATTGTAGATCACGTGACATATTATTATTCGGTATAATGCACGGTGCGACCATGCGTTATACCCATGCGTTATACCGTTTCACTTTGCGCTTGTTCCATGACGCGGTATTTGCGTGCAAAATGCATGCTGGTGTGCGCGTTCAGCGTAGCGCGTATTGTTCCAAAGAGCCAGCGCTACAGCGTTGGGTTCAAACATTTTCGTGAAGGGGGTAGTTCAACATCTTTAAAATCAAAATAAATTGTAGTTTATAATTTACCAATCAAATGACGAGAATTTATTCAGGTGTTGTATAAAACAAATAACGAATGTTTTACGTTCGTGCGATGGAAAGAATAATTTCATTCGGTGACAGATTGAATGTTCTATTCCACTCGGCTTCGCCTCGTGGAATAGAACATTCAATCTGTCACCTCATGAAATTATTCTTACCATCGCACTCACAAACATTCGTTATTTGTATAATACCACACCTATCTCGTTGTTCTTTCTGTGCTTCATAGGTCCTCTCTATTGTCTGTCTGATGTCTGCAGGCAAAGCAGCCAGTACTGTAGGGTCTAGCTGAGATGGTGATGGCAGGCAGAACTGTTCATGCTGTATCTGTCTGGTTACCGCTGCTCTTGATGGAAGTGTTGGAGTGCTGGGTTGGAAGGTAGGCAAAGGGGGTAGTGGAGTCTTCTTTGGTTGGGGAAGGCCAGGGACAGGAACTGGGATGTCTTGGCCAGTAGATGCAGATTTCTGAGAGTAATCAAATTTTTTAAAATTGTATTTTATGTGACAATCACTCCCACATTACAACATGTGTTTTTATTTTCTTCACAAAACTGACTTATAGATATTGGTTTTTTTTTTCCATTTGGAGCACATGCAATACCCATACTGAACTTTTTCCTGATTGTAAGACCGCATCCGAAATACTTGGCTATGGCTGGATATGACACACGGGTCTATGGGATGTGGCTGTAGCGGCTACCATAGGCACGTGTGTAATATCCAGTTGCGCCAAGTAATTCGGACATGGTCTAATAATGGCTTAACCCTAACTCCCTAGGTATTTTTGATAGGATGCAACCTCAATCCTGCAAAATCCTCCAACTGCCTCCATGTAAAAATTGCATACAACCTCAATCTGGCAAAATCACCATTATTTTTTGAATGTGGTCCTTGTGGAGGGATGACCACTGCCTCAATCCTGCAAAATCCTCCAGCAATCACTGTCAATATGTTGAGGCAGAGCCAGTGACATCCTGGAGCAGTGCGGAGGATTTTGAGTATAATCTAGGCCTAATTTAATGCATGGCTGAGCATAAACAACACAAGGTCCGGCCTGAGACCTTGAAACAGTGCATCCTCCAAAATCAGCCATGCACGTTTGCCATTTAGCCTTTATCCTACAAAATCTTCCTTTTTCCAAAGACAATTTTGGAGGATTTAGGGAGATTAGGGTTAAGTGAGGACAAAGTGTCCAGCAGTGAACGGCCAACTGCCAACTGCACATTACAAGTGGTGCCCAGAACTTCTCCTTTACTATTTCATCCAACTGCTATGAAGCGAGTGTCTATGTACGACAACAAACATTCAGCTGGCTTTCCGCATGGCTTACAAAAGTCAAATCTGCTTTATCACCCAAATTCAATGAAATTAACTTGAAAAAGTAAAACGACACCACGTCTCACTTCTGAGTTGAGAGTTCACAACTTTACAGGGCAAATCATGAAGGAGCCAACTCAGTGACTTTGTATTGTACAGAATAGTGATGGCTTACCTGTTTTGAAACATAGTCCAGTATTGTACCAGCCGCTTTCTTGTCTTTCACAGCTTGGTCTCTGGTTTGTTCTGTAGCAGTGGCTGGTGCAGTAGTTGATGCTTTTGCCATTGGTTTGACAAAGTCCAGAAGTAACTTGCTGTTGGATGCTGAGGAACTGGCTGAGGTACTGGATGATGAGAGGCGACTTATTTGAATGCCAACCTAGGGATTATAAGTGTTGATATCAGTGCTCTCCTCAGATGATTCATGATAGACTAATGGGATCATTCTCAGTCCATAACCAACTTACAAAATTATCGACAAAGTTACTTTGAAAAAAGATTATAATTCTCTTTGATAGAATGGCAGTTTGAAGCCTGCAAGTATATCTGGAGGAATACTTCATATAATTTATATTCCTTACATCAACAGATTAGTGCAGCTAACCCTGCCTGACTTTATAGCTACATGTACCACAGTATTCACCTAATACAAGTTTATGTATTAGTGAAGTATTCCATTTAAGACATTGGAACAGAGATGGCCTAAATGCCTCTGTGTGGATAACTGCCTGGCCGAAAAAAAAATGTGTTTAGCGAGTAAACACAACTCCAAACACTTTCTGGCCATCAGTTTGTAAACATGTTTTAGCATGAGGTGATGGCAAGACAGTATTTAGAATTCTGTTTACTCGCTTAACACATTTTTTGTAGACCAGGCAAATATCCACAGAGGCAATTAGGCTCCTAATGCCTAAAACTGAAAGCTTGGTCCCACAGTTAATTTGACCTCTCTTTGAAAATTACTCATAACTTCGTCAAAAATTATCAGATTTGGATGTTCAATGTCTCATATTAAAGTGGTAAAGCGTTTCTTTCAAACCATACCTATATTATCTTTGTTGGTTACACATTCTACGTCTCGCATTGTTATATTTTGTTTGCATTTTTTCTTTATACAAACTGTATATATAAAAGTTCCTTTAGTTAGTAAAACATGCATAACTTCTGATAGCACGGATCAATTTCAGTTATATTTTTTCACGAGTGGAAGAACATGCTCTTTTAACCCTAACTCCCTAGGGAGTATGCAAAATCATATTGAAATTGGAGGGTTGAGGACTGTTAGGGCTTTATTCTTGTATCAAATTTGATTGCTTTTTAAGGAAACAAATCATTAAACTATGTCACTTTCTTTTTGACTCACCCTGTACACTATAAACAAAACTGTATATTAAAAACAAGTCAGGTGTGTTTACAAACACAAATGCCCCGCAACCGTGACTGTTCCCATGACATAACACCACTCTTTTAACATCAACTTACATGTACCTTGGTCACATGGAATGTTCATTGACAGCATTAGTGTCTTCTGTAGGTTTTATATGAATTAATCCCTAATCCCTATGATCTCAGAATAAATACAAGATTTCGATTGTTTCAGCCACTGTGACCTTGACCCTTGACCTTTTGGCCCCAAATGCAAAAGGCTTCTTAGGATTACCAAGGACAATCTACAAACCAAATTTGAAGTTCATATGTAAAGTATTTCTCAAGTTATCGCGCTGACAACATTTCTATTGTTTCAGCCACTGTGACCTTGACCCTTGACCTTTCGGCCAGAAATGCAATAGGCTTCTTAGGATTACCAAGAACAATACACAAACCAAATTTGAAATTCATATGTAAAGTATTTCTCAAGTTATCGCGCTGACAAAATTTCTTTTGTTTTAGCCACTGTGACTTTGACCCTTGACCTTTCGGCCCCAAATGCAGTAGGCTTCTTAGGATTGCCAAGGACAATCCACAAACCAAATTTGAAGCTCATATGTAAAGTATATCTCAAGTTATCACGCTGACAAAATTTCTTTTGTTTTAGCCACTGTGACCTTGACTCTTGACCTTTCGGCCCCAAATGCAAAAGGCTTCTCAGGATTGCCAAGGACAATCCACAAACCAAATTTGAAGTTCATATGTAAAGTATTTCTCAAGTTATCGCGTTGACAAAATTTCTATTGTTTCAGCCACTGTGACCTTGACCCTTGACCTTTCGGCCCCAAATGCAATAGGCCTCTTAGGATTGCCACGGACACTCTTCACAAACCAAATTTGAAGTTCATATGTAAAGTATATCTCAAGTTATCACGCTGACAAAATTTCTTTTGTTTTAGCCACTGTGACCTTGACCCTTGACCTTTCGGCCCCAAATGCAAAAGGCTTCTCGGGATTGCCAAGGACAATCCACAAACCAAATTTGAAGTTCATATGTAAAGTATTTCTCAAGTTATCGCGCTGACAAAATTTCTATTGTTTCAGCCACTGTGACCTTGACCCTTGACCTTTCGGCCCCAAATGCAATAGGCCTCTTAGGATTACCAAGAACAATACACAGACCAAATTTGAAGTTCATATGTTAAGTATTTCTCAAGTTATCGTGCTGACAAGATTTGTCCGGACACACACACCCACACACCCACCCAAACACCCACCCACCCACCCACCCACGGAAGGACAAGGCGGAAACAGTATGCCCCTTCGGCTTCGCCGCGGGGCATAAAAATATGTGTGTAGTGTTTCCTCACCCCTCTCAAGTCTGACGCATCTATGCGCATCTGAGCCAACAGTGCCTTACACTCTTGCTGAATCCTGCTCAGTTTGTCAGTAGCCTGGGCCAATGTGGTTGACTTGGCTAGATTATCACAGATGCCATGACCCATGAACTTGGAGGCTTCCTTAGGGGCGCCTGCCTGGCGGACTTTGAGCTTGAGTGTGACTGTCTTGCCCATCATCTGGATAGCAGTCAGTCGCCGATGTACCTCCTCTGCAAGCTCACTGACAAACTTGATGGCCTCGCTGTTCTGAAAGATATACAAAAGAGAGACAAGCCGCATGAACATTTTAGTCGGGTACATTTATCCACCCAGATTGAATTAAATGTGTACAAGCACATGCATCACCCATGCATTTTGAATGTCAAAGTTAAATCATTCATATAAATAAAGTGTCACGGCTGACTACCTGGTCACTGGAACCAGCGAAATGTAATCTGAATCTACAGGTTGTCATGGTTACCAGATGACAACCAGTGAGTAAGTGTTTGCAAATTTATAGGTTTTTCAGATGAATTTTTCAGTTAATTTCAGATGCTTTTTACAAAAGCAATGTAGTCATTTATCATTCAGTTTCAAAGTTTGGTCAAACTATGTACTTGAGTACTATGTCAAAAGCATTTATCAAAACCGATTGAATTCTATTTCTAATTAAATTAGTCAGCCTGTGTGTGCTATGGACTTCACGAGAAAGTCCAGGTATCCCATTCGACACAATCAGCCTTTGTTCCTTAAATGCGGCATGACAGATACAGTCTTTTCTTACTCTAATTTTGTTTCAATAGGTCTATTGATGCTCCGTATTCAAATGATGTAGGAGTCTTTTTGCAAGCAGTGATTTTCGTCAATTACGATATTTTTGTTTCCCCCTCAAAAATCCGAGTTTTTAGGAATAAGTGAGACCTATGGAAGTGAAGCCAGCAATGTCAATGCTCCCTTGCAGGTGATAAATAGGGAGCTACGTTTTTTTCTATTCACAATTAATGATTTGTTCCTAATGCAATATGACTCACGGTAAATTTTCATGGCAAAAAAAAGCAACGAATATTCCTTTTTAAAAAATGTAGTCCCGTTGATTAGGCCAAAAAAAAAAAGTCTCCGGTTTCTGGTATGGAGCTTGTCCAAAAAGTGGTGCGGCGACGCGGCTTTTTTTTTTTTTTACCCGACTTTTTTGCTTCAAATGTCGGCTGATGACTGCAAATGGTGCCCGACTAAACTTAGTGAAAATATATGGGAGTCCAGAGAGGCCACATAAAGCTTATTCTCGATCATAACCCCATCTAAAAACACGTTGAAATTGCGCAGCAGCAGAATTCCAGTCAAACCAGTGAGTTTGGCGGTTTTTATACATCATCTTTCATTGAAAAAAACCTTTTTCATTTTGCCGACGCGCATGGCTACGGCGTCGCGTGCGCATACCAGAAACCAGAGACTTTTTTTTTTTGGCCTTATATGTTGAGTTTTATTGGAAACTTATTTTGAGCATATATGCGGGGTATAACTTTGGGAAAACTCATATAATAGAAATTTTGGGAATTTTTTTGCCACTGTAGCGTCAGAGTTTGTTGGTGAAATGTCGCCAACATGCGAAGACTAGTGGATGTCTCACACTGCAGCAAGTATAGCCCGTAAGTGAATTAAGCGACTACACAGGCAGTAGGCTATGAACATACATGGATCGGGTACACCATGTGCGCATAAAATTTGATGAGCCCTTCTTTGCTTGAAGAACATTACAAATCACAAAGGCAGCAGCAACTTTGAAAAATAGCCAGTTACTAAACAGAGCCAAGTACAAAATGTATGTGGACGGGAAGACTACAGTTCAAAACTGTAGTCAGTATTCTCAAGACATGCTTCAAAAGAAAACAAAATAGGGCACAAAGTACAAATCAGAACCATGGGATGACGATGTTAAAACATACCAGACTATCCTGAATCTTCTGCAGTGAAAAAGAAGAGGTGGTGCAACCATATGAAAGTAATTTCTTTCTAAATAATACACCAGCACAGGACAAGGCTCATACCGCAGACCCCAGTACCACACCAAGTCATAAGGTCCACACCCTAGCATGCCTAGTGTGCTGCAAGTGGGTTTTACATATGTACGGTTGGCACACAGAACAATGCAAAAGAATTTAGACAATGCACTGAGTCAGTCTGAGAGAGTGAGAACTGTTACATAACACCTAGCGTGCATGAGAACACCAAAACTAAAAACATTCCCGCAGTTCATAGAATAGCGGGAAATTATTGTCTTAGGAATTTGAAGAACGCATAGAGAGCCAGCAATCCATAGCAAGTGCAGAGGGATTAGGAAAGAGGTTTAAATAAGAAGACATGAGCATTGTATAGTTAGCTCTAGCAAGACGCACATTATACAAATATTTTGTATGAGTTTATAAATGTATAAAGACGGTAAGGCCCAAAAAAAATATATACTTCTGCTTCCGGTTACCCGACCGACCGACCCTATTTTTAGGCTGCAACTCTAAAAAAAAAATTATCGGCAATTCCAAAAAAAATAAATTAATGATTGAATACATAAAAAAAAAAATCTTTTGTTTTTTTCTGTCTTCACAAAATACCTCTCTTGTATTTGGAGTGATACGATGCAGCGTGTTTCCCCAAAATTTTCTACTGTAAAAACAAGGTCTGTCCCCCCCCATACATGCACACAGTGCATCCATCACACACAGAGTTTTGGCCAGTTTCCCATGTTGACTAGCGTTGTGCATATGGTGCACACGACCTGAATTTTCCATTATTTTTTAAGAATTATCGAACGTAAATATATTGCCAATAATTAAGGTACGTGTAGGTTATATTCACTTTGTCATGGCCATTTTTTTTGTATAGCTTTCGTAGTGCAATGGAAATAGTTCAGGCTAAAACTTCGCATATAATTGAATATCCAATTCAATCAGCATAACAAAAATGACCGACCGACCCTATTCTTTAAAGGTATGTAATCGGAAGCAGATGTCTTTTTTTTTGGGGCCTAATAAGGTTTTTTTTTTAGGGTGAGCTCCAAAACCAAACACAGAGAAGGACGCTGATTGTTTTGTGGCACAGGTTTCCAGCGCATTTTAAAATGTTTATATCTGGTTTTTCCTGGACTTCAAGTTTTCCAATAAGAGTTATTTCTTAATTAAGATATAGGAGGTTACTACCTATATTATAGCAGCCGGATAAAATAATCACTGTAACTTGTACAGAAAGACAATTAGAGTAGAAAATGTAAAAGACAAATCACATAATGTTGATGATGTTGTAAAACTTGAGAAAAAAAGAGGAAAACAAGCGTCACTTGTGTGCTGCGCCAAAGCAAGAAAGTTGAGTTTGGTTATTTTTGAGTGTGAGAAAAGATAAGACTCTCAAGTTACATGTGAGCAGATAACAAAGGCTATAATGGGGGCTCTCAATTAGTCTGATGACTCAATGCATTTCAAGAACAATACACAGTGCTTTGTGCCCATGTTGACGAGAGCTAAAGTGTACGCAACCCCATTCCCAGGATCTGCTTTCAACCCCAATGACAATAATAGCACCTGGTTGGCAACCTCATTCCCATGGTTCAAGCAGTATGCTCCCACTACTACCTGCTCTCTCACCCTGGTATTGGATCATTTGCATGTTCAAAAATCTTGCACATGTTGGCAAGCATAGTTAGGAATAGTCTGGTGCCTGGCTGTGCTTTAAATCAGTGGTTTTTTTATATGGCATGATCGGTATCTGAGGTATAAACGATCAATTCGGCGTGGCATGAGATCCGGAAAAAAGCCAAATTTTCCTGAAAATGTGTTACAATCTTCAAGCCAATATGTATCACATGATATGAAATAGCAAAATGGAAAAAGGGGATTGTTTTTGAGGTGGAGTGGAGATAATAATGGAGTACCGAAGTGTGACGTCATTTAGAACCAGAAAGTGTTGTGCAAACGAATGGAGTACGCGCGTGTGTTGGTTCTCGGGCGTGACGTATTCACTTCGGTACTCCATAAACACTGAACATGTTGAACATTTTAAATACGTAATACACCTTGGAAATAAAAACACAAAGTACACGATATAAATCCACTACTTGCTACTGCTATATCAAAGACGAAGAAATGTTCAATTTTTAGAGGCAGAAGGAAAGAAAGATATTTCAGAAGCATCAGTGAATTACAAATTCTATGTTGGTGTATGATGAATTTGTACCACGTAGATGTATACAGCACACTGTCTTCTTGTGTGTAATGAAAATACTTCAATCGAACCACAGGAGAACAGACCTCAATGTTAGAAACTTCCAAACTCCAGTGTCAAACTTCCAAACTCCAGTTTTTCCCCCAAGGCCATTTTTTTATGGCAATGCCATGGTTATAGTGGAATACCTGTTTAGTTTACAACACAATATTTCAAAGGCATGGAGACCAAGAATGTAATTTTTTCTCCTCAACATAGCCATCACTCAGACATACCCTGTGATGTCTGCTTATGAGTGATTAATATCAAATTAATTTAAATTACCAACCTGAGTGAACCTAATTCCATAATTGATCTCGGCCGAGACTGACTTCCGTTCTCGCTCCACTCTGATTGGTCGATCATCTATCCCCTGACAGTAGCTGTACAATGATTGGCCGGTCTTGGGTCCAAACTCCTTCTGTAGGGAACTAAGTGACAGGTTCTGCAAGTCACCACAGGTTCCTATGCCCATGGTCTTCAGACGAGCACCCATGGACCTCCCTACCCCTAAAATCAAAGAAATTACAACTTCATTGTCTAAATAATTATCTCATACATGGAGGGCAGATCATGAAAATATCAGGTCCCATTTTGAAATTTGGGTTCCATTGGGATGTTTTGTGTAACCCGTGAAACTCTATCAGAAGACATCAATCTGTGTCTCTCAGTTTGTTTAAATCAAATCACAAGAAAATTAATCAAATATTTGCAAAGTACTTCAACAAGTACAAGTAAATCAAAACCTTGTACTAAAATGGCCAATCAGTCCAGACTATAGTCAGTTTACCACAGAAACATCACAGATATGATGGGTGGCAAATCACGACTTGATAAAACAAACCAATCTGTACATAATGCTTAATGAAATCTGGACTGCAGCATTACTCGTTCTTGGTTTACTTCAAACCACAAACTTCAAAGATCAAAAAAATAGACAAATGTACAAATCCAACTTAATAATAATAATAATTACTGGGAATGGGTGATTTGGGAGACATCACCATAGACTTGTGCACAAAATTCTTTTCCAACTTAAATGTGCCATAACCCAATTTTCCCTTGCCATTTTTCCATGAATTTCCGTATGTTTACTAATTAGACCACGAGCAACAAATATAGCCTAATTGTGACAGTAAATTTTGCCTCTAACATGTCTAACGGGGGGCTGTGCCATTACGGAGAGAGTTATGTGTTTTCCTAAAAGCTGATGTCTCCCTATTATCGAAATAATAACGATAAGGTGTCTCCCTAATGGTACATTTGGTAATATAACCGTATTTATATAGCGCCTTTTCCAAAGGCCTGATACAAAGCGCTGGGGGAGAATGCAACCAAAGACAGGTAAATGAACATACTACGCATATCTCATTAAAATACTTGCCTAAAGCTCATTATAAAAAATGCAAAATTTTCTGAGTGAATATCATTTTTGGATCTCTCAGAACATCATTAACCTTGGTAAAAAAAAATGCCAAATATCTGACAATTCTGTGTGGCCAGACTCTCTAAAATTCATAAAGTCCAGACTTCATAGACAAATCAATCTTGGCAAAGTAGCCTATCTTTTCACAATTATCAAAAAATGTCACAGTGAATACAGTGAAATGGCAATGACTAACATCTGAGCAGACACATCATCTAAACACAATGTAAATAACCACTTAAACTTACCTAAAACAGAGAGACAACATTCGTGCAAAAAGGAAGGAAACTTGATAAAATGCCATCATGCAATCAGAACGATAGCAGAATCAGGAACGCCAAGCTCTGCTCAAATTTTGGGGCAGGCTGACACCAAGAGACTGAGCACATGACCAGCCAGGCCCTCACTGTCTAAATTTCAAATAAGCCCCTGTACTGATGATGTCACACTTTGTTTACGTGTGTGCTTTCCTGTGGTGCTCAGTGGACCATGGGCCCCCACTGGCTCCATAGAAAAGTGCACATGACTCTAACAGGGATTGGCCATCTAGTCCATGAATAGTCAGCAGAGTTCGTGGTTTTCACAGCTTCTGCAAGGTGTGATCAACAGACAGGGATTAAGTGTCCCTACATTATGCCTAGCTCCTGGAAGACCATTGTTAGTGTACACACTGGTGCACCAGTCACCAACTAAAAGGCTGAGGATACAAAAGACATCCACTCTCTTCCAAGAAGTAAGAAAAGTTCAAAGACCAGCTCTAAGAAAGTAGGCAGAGATCAAAGGTCTAGTAGAATAAAAGTAGGCAAAGATCAAAAGGTCTACTGGAACAAAGGCTCACCAGTAGAAAACATGAAGTACCATAAAGAAATTAGGAAACGTAGATATAAATAAAAAATAATACAACCTGTATAACCCAAGACCTGTTTTGGGTCGGGGTTAAAATATTTGAATGGATTAAAAAAACTCATTAAATTTTTTTAACATGTTAACTCTACACTCCTAGTTTCTTACCCGGTATATCTTTAACAGGCTGGTGTTTCATGAAGTCCATTGCATCCTCAGATGCCAGGAAGAACTGTCCATTGGGTTTGGCTTTCCTTGTGCTCATACGTGCCAGCAGAATATTACAAGCTTTATGGAGAAAGCAAAACAAGCAATATCAATGGGGAGGTACAATCATAGAATGTTCTCAGATTCAAAATGTCAGATTTCAGTTCAAAGTGCATGTTTATAGTGCATATGACATGCAGCCTTACACAAGAGGGCACTATTTATTATTCATATCTCTTTGATGGGCATTCTGAATAAAATTTGACATTACTCCCAACACCACCAAGGCCAATACACTACATGAATGCAAATACGAAGCAAATTTGACATCATGAGCCATTCACTGCAAAATTTGCCAGAGTTGAGATGTGTTTTCTTTTTGTTAGCAAATCTGCAGTGTGAAAACTTATGACATCACAAATTTGCATGTGTGTTTGCAGCAAGTATGCACTGACTGCCCTTGCAGTCAAAATCAAACACTGTTTTCAACAGTTAAGAATTCCCAGCCTAGTACATAAAGCAGGATTGACTGCCTTGGACTGCTATGCTCCAGGACAGTGATAAAACAGCTGTGACCACAACTTGCGTGCTTCGCCTGTTGACCCAATTTGACTGAACAAAGTACTTGCTTGACATATGATCTGACTGCTGGTGACTAGCCTTTGTTAAAAGCATAGCAGGGGAAGTGGAAGTAAATTTTGACTGTCCGTGACTGCTTAAATAGCAGGAGGGCTGCACTTCACAACCCTTCAGGTTTTTGAAACACTTTTACTCAGAGGGTTAGTAGCACCCACACTTCATATTCCTTCCAGATAATCTTCTGTTGAGTATGGATAAGACTTCAAATCCCTGCACATTCATGACAGTTCTTTGGTGTGGTTAAGCTCAGGGCAAGATTCGGTCACGCTGCACAGCGCTCTCCACAGTGCTGGTTTTTTGTGTGTGCGGAGTGACTTGCTGTGTGGCAGAGTTACTTTAACACTTCATATCTCTTCACCTGATAATGACCTGCAGGGTGTTAAAGGGTTTCACATATTGCTCTGAAAATTGACTTCACACTAGGATGATTAACCTGTCTCTGTGGATTCATCAGGGGAAAAGTACAATGCAATACAAGTGCTGATGGATTAACTGATTGATTTACATACCAAGTCCTGCTGAAGCATTACACTGCGTCTTCTCTTTAATCTCTTGACGGAGTACCCGTGCAAGGTCTAGGGGTGTAGCCCCTGTGTCTTCCAGTATGCTAGTCACATCAACAAACATCTCGTCACAACTAACAGCCTCTATCTCATGGGTGTAACTAGATAATAAAAAATATTGAATTAATTGGTTTGAAACAAACCTCGAATTCTATAATAATAATAACACTTTGGGAGACTTAACATCCTTACTGGCAGCTGAGAAGCTGAATTGTGAAGGACGCGACTACAACATGGTGGAGCCGCAGGCATGTAAAGACACCTTTGGCAGCCAGCCACATTGACCCACATATGATCACGGAGCACAGCCTGAGATCGAAAGTGTTTGATTTTTTCGGAGGGAGGAAAACTGGAGGGCCCGGAGAAAAACCCTCGTGGTACAGGAAAGAACCAACGCACAACTCTACTCACATACATGTATGGTCTGCAGCCGGGAATCGAAGCAGGGCCACAGTGGTGAGAGGTGATGAGCGCCTTACGCACTAGCCACCCACAAATATTATTTTCTATGTTGAATGCCATGGTCCAGTGGTTACAGTGTTTGACTCATGTACGATGGTGCATGGGTTTGAACCCTGCCAGGAACATGGTGTTTGTGCCCTTGGGTAAGACACTTAACTACAATTGCTTCTCTCCACCCATGAGTATGAATGGGTACCTGTGAGAGTAGAGGTCCAAATGTGCACTGATAGGTCCTATCGGCTGCCACGTGGTCTCGTGGCCTGATGAATGGAGGAATAATTGTAAAGTGCTTTGAGATTGTTGATACGATGGAAAGCACTACAAGCATTACAACAACATGGAGGTCTTTTTCCTGAACTTAATAATGAAAACACTATCTTGAACATTTGGGCAACTAAGTTGATAAGCATTCTTTACAGATTGATGGTATTTATGGGTTGTGAGGAAAAGGCTACTAGCTCACCTTGCGACAGTCTCGTATAGTGTCTGTGAGACACTCTTGTATCCCTCAAAGTCATAGGGTATTGTCTGCAGGTCTGGGCAGCGCTTTCTGGCCTCTCCCATAAACATACCATTCTTGACTCCAGCCTTGCGTGCCTCGTAGCTACAACTGGCTAACTCTGCCATGGAATTGAAAGTCTCGGACTGGGTTCTGATTGTCTGTGGCTTGGCTCCCTCCACTGGCACGGACTGGACGTTAGAATCTGTAGATTGTCCAGGTAATCTTGAAGGTTGGTCCCCAAATGAGGATGCTTCTCCTAGATAGGTTTGAGCACTCGCTATGGTGGGGTCTACAGAACCTGCTGGCTCTTCTGGTGAGACTGTGACTCTCGAAGCATCCTCTGTCTCCTGTATGAATGTCTTGGCTATGTCCACATGCCGACTCTTCATTGCCTTGGCACCATCCTGTTTGTATTTATTTGCATAGTATTCCTTCTCATATTGTCTAGTTTCCTGGTTTGCATCAGGCATGCCCTTCCCCTTGGAGTGAGTCACAGCCACAGGTTTCCCCACCAGGTCTGGGCGGTTGCGCAAACCAACCGATACAAAGAAGCAGTCCATATCAACATGCATGATGACACGTTTGGATTTCCCTGCCTTCCCGTGATTTGCTCTTGTAAGATGACCTTGGAGTTCTTGTGTCCTTGATGTGGGATCTCCCTCATTTTCTGTATCAGCTGCATGTTTTTGAATGGGTTGTGATTCCCCCGATGAGCCAGATGAGAAGTCGCTTTGATCTTCGATGAGTCGTCGCAATTTCTCCCGTGCCGGGAAGCTGGTGTCGCCACTGCTCTGCAGCTTGTTCACAAAAGCCTTGCACTCAGCCCCCCACGTGGATATGTGATGCAGACGTGAGTTGCTGTAAAACTCAGACACAAAGTTAGCATCGCCGGCCTTAGCAGGACCCTTGCTACCTCCCATAGACGGAGGCGACTGATCCCTTGTGGTGGTGGTTCCAAGAGATGGTGGATCCATGGACTGGGCACTGACTGAACTGGTAGAAGACGAAGGACTCGGCAAGGCAATGGATGCGTAACTCTTGTCTAGAAACTCCACCATACTGTGGCCTTCTGGACTTCGTAGTCTGGTTCCTTGATTGCTTACTCTACTCCCACTAGTATCACTTGCTGTATGCTCACTTGCTGTATGTTCAGGCTTGTTTGCTTCTGTTGAGGCATCTTTCTTCAAGCCTGTGAACTGGAGTGTGCCCTGGGAGGTTGTTCTATTAGTGTACAGCTGGTAAGGGTTATCTGGCAGCAACTTTCCTGCTTTTATACTGAAAATAAAAGAAACAAAACGTAACTGTTTCTGAGGAAAATTAACATCTCTGATGAAAATAGACCCCAAAGTAAATACCCCAAGACTTGAATGATAGGTTCAGATTTGATTACAAACTGGAGCATGAACACACAGTGTAAGTCTTCTAGCAGTGTAATATAGTTGAAATGAGCTGTTTCTACTTTCTATTTGCTCAAGATCCGAAAATACTTCCTAGGAAAACTTAAGAAAATATCCAGACTTACCACTGTATTTACAGCTAACAATAACTGACAAGTTCCATACATGTAGGTAAACACCCTCAAAATGTACACTACTATACTGACCTACTGGGAACTGACTTAATAGACCAACACAAACATGTGTACACATAAAACTGTTTTGGGAACATTGAAGAAAATCAGACACATTTAAAGAAAACAAGTCAGGTGTGTTTACAAACACAAATGCCCCATTACATGACACAACACCACTCTTTTAACATCAACTTATGTACCTTGGTAACATGGAACGTTCATTGACAGCATTAGTGTCTTCTGTAGGTTTTATATGAATTAATCCCTAATCCCTATGACCTCAGAATAAATACAAGATTTCTATTGTTTTAGCCACTGTGACCTTGACCCCTGACCTTTCGACCCCCAATGCGATAGGCCTATTTGGATTACCAAGAACGATCCACAAACCAAATTTGAAGTTCACATGTAAAGTATTTCTCAAGTTATCGCACTGACAAAATTTCTTGTTTTAGCCACTGTGACCTTGACCCTTGACCTTTTGGCCCCAAATGCAATAGGCTTCTTAGGATTGCCAAGGACAATCCACAAACCAAATTTGAAGTTCATATGTAAAGTACCGTATATCTCAAGTTATCACGCTGACAAAATTTCTTGTTTTAGCCACTGTGACCTTGACCCTTGACCTTTTGGCCCTAAATGCAAAAGGCTTCTTAGGATTGCCAAGGACAATCCACAAACCAAATTTGAAGTTCACATGTAAAGTATTTCTCAAGTTATCGCGCTGACAAAATTTCTTTTGTTTTAGTCACTGTGACCTTGACCCTTGACCTTTCGGCCCCAAATGCAATAGGTTTCTTAGGATTAACAAGAACAATACACAAACCAAATTTGAAGTTCATATGTTAAGTATTTCTCAAGTTATTGCGCTGACAAGATTTGTCCGGACACACACACACATCCACACCCACCCACACACCCACGGAAGGACAAGGCGGAAACAGTATGCCCCTTCGGCTTCGCCGTGGGGCATAAAAAGTAAAAATAGTAGATTTTGAAAGGACTGACAAACTAATATTATGCAACTTGGCTTTTACTTGTACGACAAGGGGTTCAACAGTTCTCTCTTTCATGTACCTCTGCTAACCCATATGTACATGCTCACCTTATAACTCCTACCTACGCCTAAACAGCTGGTACATCTTAAACCCTGTACGTACGCCTTGTAAGTAATAAAAAACCTGTACGAACAAGTTCTAAGTCATATGCACAGGTTTTTGTTTGCAAGGCATATGCACGATTGTAAGGCGTACGCACGATTGTAAGTCGTATATACGACTTATAACATGTACATTACGAGTTACATGTATAAGGCGTACGTATGAGTTATAAGACGTACACATATTTACGAGTTATTAGGCATACATGTACGTTTAAGTTATAAGACGTACATACGAGTTACAAGTCTTACGTTCAAGATAGCAGAAGAGGGAAAATTATTTTTCTATCATGTCTCTAATACAGCTTCATATATTTGGGATGGACAGATGACATTTACAAGGCGGGTACCTGTCAGTAATCCACTCTGGCTTGACAATTTTCTCATCTCTGAGTTCCTTGATCTTAGCATAGGGAAGTCTGGTAGCTATGATATGGCTGACTTTGGTCTTACTGTAGTAATGATGGAACATACCACCATGTAACATCATCAGACGCTTCAGCTCATCAGATGATGGCACTGTCAGTTAAAGATAAAAAGAAATATACATGTACTATTCACAAAGGACTTTATTTTTAAGCCAACTGAAATGATTGCACAAAGTGTTTATGGAACAAACTGTTATATATACCCTTTAGTGTTAAGTGACCACGCCTGTCACATTCTTGAATAAATGCAAAATATAAACTGGTCTAAGAATCCTGTTAACACAAGTGTCCCATTTCACTGCTCTGTTATCCAGTTCGTTTAAAGCCGTGTCCGCACTGGACTTTTTTTTTTTAAGGTTTTACCGAGACGATGGTAAAATGAGAAATGGTCAAATGTGACCACTGTCCGCACTTGGACTTTCGACACGGGAAAATTTACCCAGACCGCATGGGAGAAGTAAACGAGCTGTCACAGTGTCAGTATAATGACTCACCGTACACAGAAAACAAATTGCCGATCACATTTTCAGCCGCCGATACGCACAGTAATATTACACACGCCATTTGCATGCACAACATAATCGTTTACACGATATTATTTCATCTTGACACGCTAAATCTTGACGAAAAGGCCTGTAATTCTGACGCATTTGTGATGCACGTCGTCGAAGCCATGCCGCTGTACGATGTTCCGTGCGGCAGCAGTGCCATCAGTATTCGTTGGTTCCCATCGCATGCTTACAGAATCGAAGCTATGATGTGGGCCAGGAACCAGTGACTACGGCCTACGTACGGTACCGGACCACGATGTTCCGTGCATGCATGACTACAGTAGCGTATCAGGACGAATTTGGATCGTAGAAAATAACATACATCGGTGGAATACATGGAGAAAGAGAATTTCCGCAAATTAATTCTCAGAACGTGATCTCTCTTCTCTGTGTATGTATTTGTCCGTTGAAATATATATTTTAACGAGATTTTACCGCTCGGACTTGATGATACACCGCAGCGTGTTTCTACAAAATGTTCGGCCTTTGCACGTGCAGGTTCGTGCAGTCTCTGTATGCATAACAGGGCGCTCGGGCCGGATGTACGCTTTCCTGAGCCGCTTTTACCGACTCGCACTGTCCACACTGGACTTATTGTCTCGGGAAAAGTAACCTGGTCAGTTTTCCTGGGCGCATGGGAAGTTTTCCTGGGCAGCAGTTGGCCAGTAAAAGTAACCACTGGAGGAAAACGTCCTAGGCGAGCCCTCAGATAACAGACCGTTCGGGTACCGGGTCCGGTATGCAAATTTCTTTCACCCCAATCGGTACGAAGCCAGAAGCCACCCGGTTACTGAAGCGTGACGCCCCAATCGGTCCAAACTGGTGACTCAGGGTTTCACAATAGGCAACATAAATTGAAGTCTGGCCATTGTTGGAGGATTATTCGGCCCGCTGGGCGTAATAAACTATGGAGTGGAAAGTAAAACTTAAAGGTTTTTGCTTTTAGTTTTCAGTCATTAACGTTAAGTATTGGCCGGATTTATTAATTTACGTTTTAATTCAGTTCGGGATTTTATGAGAGATTTTGATTTTTTTTCTTTTGCAGGGCTTCAGAAGTCAAGAAACCCTCGAATGTGTTTTCAAACTTTTTGCCTGCATCTGCATTTCTTCAAAAGGCTTATACATACACATACTCCGATACTCGTCCTTGTCTTATAAGAAACACATGAAAAAGATGGCCAACTTGTGAAATGTAGTCTGAAAAATTACGCTTTCTAGATGCTTACATTTAATTTGTGTTGGTTATTCAGACTTCAAACGCGTACGTACGTATAACCTTCACATAAAGCGAAACGGACTGGTGACTGGTAATCGGCTTGGACCCTTCAATTTCACATTCACAACGAGAAGGGAGCAGTGATGGAATCCATTTCAGCTAGCGTCGTACACCACATGCAGCATAGGGATGTTTAGCAACGGGATTACTTAAAATAATGCTCAATATAATCATAAACATTTAAGTTTGATATGAAAGTCAGCAGCAACGCTTTCTTGCATGTATTAGAATGTTTTAAGAGCGTGTACAGTTGATTCCTAATGCCGGGTTCAGGCAAGTACATGTACGTTTCGCCTGCTCTGATTACCAACAATACTTCAGTTGTTCCTCTATGGAAAATATACATGTATTTGAGCGCATTTCTTGATTAAATTATTTGTTTGAGTGTATTTCTTCATTGATCCCCATTCCCAAATAAACAGTAGTTATTTTTTGATGTTTGGCCTTTATACCTTAAGTTTTGAAACCTTCAGCCTCCCTTTAATAAAATTATAAAATTATAAAATTATATATTATATTAAAAGTAACCACACACTTGACACAAGGGAAAGGGAAAAAATGGAAGGGTTGAAGGGTGGGAATGAATGGGAATGAAGGGAGAGGGCATGAATTGTTTTATTTATTCAATCATCGATCAGATTCAGACGCTGGATCTATCTCTTTTGTGAAAATGTGTGGTTCTGAAAAGAACCGTTTGGTTTTTGTTTTCGATGCTGGTGACTTTCTCAAAGTTTGTGCATGAGACGATTATGGCGATCTCGATCTGCTGCGCTCACAAAGACTTTCTTGCATCCCGCCTGGCAAACCCTCTCTCCGTTGATTGGTGAGTGTACTCCTTCATCTAGAGCTGGAATCTTGAGTTTTCCTGTCACAGCCTTTGAAGCCATTTCTTGCCACGTGAAGAAATGTCCAGGGACCTTGTCTGATGGAACAGGCGTAAAACCATGCCCACCTCCAAATTCACGAAGGAAGGTGAGAAGTTTTTTGGCGCGCACAGGATGGTTGCTACAGTGGTGGCACTGACTATCTTGACATTTGACGAATTCCAACTGGTAGGTCCGCTGCACCGAATGCGAGGCAAGAAACTTATATTCTGCCGCAAGTTCTGTCAGGACAATGTCTGCCTTGATCTTTTTCACACTGGCGTCAGACAATTCTTCCACCTTGGCCTCATCTGAATAGTGAATCCATTGCCACTGCCGTAACTTTGAATGAATCATACATCTTGCCATCAAGACACTTGTGGACATCTCTGATTGCATTGTCCAAAACAGTTGCATTCTTTCTGGCGCGGTCCTCCTCTGACAATTTGGATTGGGCTTCAGGATTCTTGTCCTCCCCAGGAATGGTGTCCGACAACTGCAGACCTGTCAACCAAGTGGTCACTGGTGCCCAACAATGTTCGATCATATTGTATCGACTATCACCGGGCGTATATCCAAGAATGCAAAAATAGTCTAGGTGCAGATCCCGCCATAAACGGCCCATTGTCATGACTACTTTAAGGCTGTTCTTCTTCCAGTCAGGGCCGTTGTCAGAGACTATCACCGCAGCATGCTTGCCTTCTTTGTCACGGACTTCACGAATCAACGGAAACAAATCTGTATAGTGGTTGTACACAGACGCCTTGAAAAATTTGTTGCCCCTCAAGCAAACGGTGAGTTTACCAGTTCTTGGATAATTGAAGTGTAAACGGCCGAACCTGTCATGGTGGTGCCTTGAGTTGGACGACGGTCGGTTAAGGAGCTGAATGTACCCACTTGGGATGATTTTATATCCGGTAGCGAAATTGTGGTCAGGGTAGTGGATCATATCATCAGTGTGGAAATAGGTGCGGAAAGACGTTCTTCTGTCCACACACGGGCCACTTCCAACTAACAACTTATTCTTGTCATCAAGTGACCAGCGAGAAATCTCTCCATCAAAGCATGTGGCCATCTCAAGTGCATAGATAACCGCAGAACGGCAGATATGGGAATTCTCATGATGATGAGAAATGTCGTTCTTTTTCACGCCAACTTTTGCATCGATTAGAGAATGATAGTAGGATTTGGAATGGTGGTTGCTGTGTGGAGGTACAAACAGACGTGACAGGGTGCTTACAGAGATTGAATTGGGCCGTTCCTGAAGTCCTGGGACTTTCCTCATCACTTCATCTCTCAGCTGAAGAGCCGAAACTCCAACTGAAGAGCAGGTCTGCGATCGCCTTCGGTGAGCTGCGAAACCGTGGTCTGCCAGCGTCTCGACAACAGTTGGCACAAGGTCTGGAAACCTCTCGTGCAATGCCCGGCCTCCTCTTTTCTTGGGCAAGGTACCCCGTGGTTCACTAAACGGTCCATCTAGGACCCTCTTTCTTGATCCGATAGGTGAGAGATTTGGAATCTTGCCAACGGGAGACAAATTCGTGAACTTAAGCGGACTTAGAATTGGTATCGCGGTTTTACGCACAGGACTGCTGAAATTGGACTCCATCTTGTTGAATGACTGAATCTGAAATGAGATAGCGTCCCTGGCATCCAACCTGAAAGTTCACGCATAATTGGTTTTACCCTATAGGCTGTGCTTGCCGAAGCGAATCTTGAACCGCAGTACCTGACAACCGAATCTCTTGACATCATACTTATTATAGTACGTGTTCTCACCTCTGCTGCATGCCTATATACTTTCCTGCTATTTTCAACAAGATGGATACCGAATTTCGTAGTTGTTCTCCAACTCGCTACAGCAGGGATCACGTTGGTGAGTCATTTGTATTTATATTTTAAATCTCCAGATATTTACAAACAATTACAAGTTGACTCCCGAGAGAGATAAACATTTGGAATTCAATTCCATTCATAAAATACATGTTCATCATCCGTGCAAACAGTTTTAAAAAGGAATCTTGAGTGTTATTTGAAAATTAGCACTGTATACATGTGTGTACATGTACATGTATTTATCGGCGCAAAAATGCAAAAAAAATGTAGCAATTAATTGCAGTATGGCGCTCACTCCAAACATATGAATCAAACTAGTTTGTTCTGACGTATCTTTTATTTTCTCGTTTTTCTTTTTAGGAATCAGTGATGATTCTGACGATGAGATGACCCTTTCTGACTTGAGGAAAAAAACAACGTGTTGACCATCGTAATGAGGTACAACAGTTGATCCTCAGCAATGCAGAGCCTGAAAGCCCACAGCCAATATCCCTGCTTCTTGAGATGGTTTCCCAAGTCAAGTCAAGTCTCGAAGCTGGTTTCTTGTCAGTCCATAAACGACTGAATATCATCGAACAACGTCAAGAGCAACTTGTCACCGCGGTGAAATTCATCGCCGTCAAGGTTTCCCCCGAAATCATCACGCCTGGATGTGACGGAAGAAGAACATCGAGTTGCTCCACGCCAGCTGTTCCAGCGACACCCCGATCGGCTACAACTGCAGTACGCACCACAGCCACCGGCACTCCTCAGTCATCGGCTGCCACTCCAGAACCTCGCACCACTGAAGTTCGAGAGGCTTCTACCGCCCCTGCAACACCCGTGTCATCTCGCCAAATTCACCCCCGGTTCATTGCGGGACCGTTGCCGGGTACATTCCTTCTGGGTGGAAACCAGGGCATGGTGCGTCAGATCGACGACTACAAGAAAATTCTCCGGGAAGTGCAGAGCAGGAAACGAGATGCAACAGACAATGAGAGAGCACGGCTGTTGTGCCTAAACTTGCTCAAAAGAGAGATTCCAATGGAAGAACTTGCTCAAAAGAATATCACAGGGAACTCTAGGGATGACGAAAACAAGAAATGCAAAATTCCCCAGCTGGATTCATTCATCCTACATTGCATTTTTCAGCAAGCTAAGCTTCAGTTTCCAGAATTTTCGGACTGGTACACAGACCATAAGTGTTAAACTGTCGAGATCCTCAACGATGGCTGCAAAAGAGCGAGAAAAGACTTGAAGGGGAGACCAGCTAGTTAGCTATTAAATCGACAGATTACATGTTCAAACGAAGAAGCCAGATTATTGTAATAAATGCCATGTTGTGTTAAAAGTAAAAGTAAACTGATTGTCTGTGTTTAATTTATGTTCAGGTTTCATGCAATCTTTAGTCATCAGTTAATGTTTAATAGTACGTATTCCAAAGTGACTTTTTGAAATGAAGTCTGGCATTGATTAAAATGACTTGTATTAAATATTCGCAAATGGGTCGGGTTTTGAAAACATTCGTGACCGAGATCTGGCCGGGCACGTGTAAAACGCCATGCCCAGATTTCGGACCCACAACTGCGACGAAAATGTTTTGCAGTTTATGTAGAAAAAAGGGGTTATGGAAAGGAGTTGCAGTGTAAAAAGGTCACGAAAAGTATGCCCACCTAAACGGGTTTACTAAAAAATCACACCTGGACCAGTTCAATTGCGGGACAACAACAGTTAAACAACGAGTCATTTCTTTATTTTCAATGGAGGGCGCATCTTTTGGATGTCATTGGTAAAAAAAAAGCCATCAGGTTCACAATTATTAAAGTACAGTAAACGTCTTATTAGTGCACAAAGGCAAGGGTATGCCGGATTACCAGCGGCAACTTCTTTGAAGCTCACAGTCATTGTTGCCTACTGGAGGATTAGCGCGTCGCAAATTGGTTTCTTTGTGATGAGCCAGAGCCATTGTGCAGAAGCCTGGTGGAGTTAATCCAGGCCGATCGGTTCCAGGCAAGGTCCCAATCCCTTCAACATACTGGGCGGGCTCAACCCCGAACGGTCTGGGGAGGGTTTCTAATTTGAGGGCTCGCCCTAGGCTGTCCGCACTGGACTTAAAATGGAAAAAGTACCCATAGTCTCGGTTAGTTTGACCAAAAAATTCCAGTGCGGACAGGGCTTAATAGTCAAAAAAGGTCACACCAATGATTACTGGCGCCCATTGGATAAACACTCAAGTTGTGTTAACTTCCAGTTCTGGTTCCAATGCTACAATGGGCAGTGGGCGTGGTATAAACTGAAGTGACGTCACACTAACGAACCTGATGGACATCTTTTTCTGAAACCAAGTGCCCATCCATTTCAAGAAGACCATATGCCATTGTACGGTATGCAGGCCCGGCTCTAATGAGGGCCATTGGTTAACAAGTGGTTGAGTTGATATGTCACTAACACCTGTGCACTAATAGACATGTGAGCATCTCAAACTCAAACGATGGTCTAAACATCCTCATTAACCCTTACCCTACTAGACCCTCCAACGCATGCCAATATGTGCCTCAAGAAAATCTCCTATGTTTTTTGCATGGCCCTCCAATATCTGCCATGTCATTTCAAGGGTAATTGGACAGGCACTCCAATACATGCCACAGAGAACAATGAGAGTCCTCTGATAACAAAGTGAGTGCCCCCAGCTGGTCAGTATCAGGCACCCTCCAGGGCCTCCAACTCCTGCCAATTGGAGCCTTCACTTTTAAGAGAAACTATCTGCCAATAAACTGCAGCTGGAGGGCATTGGCATAACCAACTGACATGCAGTAAACTACCCTCAGAGAGTAAGGGTTAAACATCTTGTTCCTGGCTCCCTGCAGCGCATGATAATGCATTCAGCTGTTATAACCAGTGATGTTTTACTGTCCTTGTTGGCTGGTCTTGAACAGTTGATTAGACTAGCCAAACTATGGTTAACCATTGTTCTTGCGCAAACTTTCTCATGTTTGTTCATATGCACTCTTTCATTAACCATCCCAAATCCTCCGAAATCCTGTTTGCAAAATGGAGGATTTTGCAGGATGGCAAAAGTGTGTGGCTGATTTTGGAGGATGCACTATGTCAAGGCCTTAGGCCGGATCTTGTGTTGTTCATGCTCAGCCGTGCATAAATTTAAGCCTACATGTAAATTATACTTGAAATCCTCCGCACTGCTCCAGGATGACACTGGCTCTGCAGGATTGAGGCAGTAGTCACCCTTCCAAGGACCCATTCAAGAAATAATAGAGGATTTTGCAGGATTGAGGCTGTATGCTTATTGTACATGGAGGCAGTTGGAGGATTTTTTGCAGGATTGAGGTTGTATCCTGACAAAAATGCTTTGGGATTGGGGTTAAATTTGTCTCAACAACTTTAAAAGCATGCACAAACAAATACATACAACTTATACTGTAGCTCCACCAACAACTGTTGCATTTTCCTTGGAAGTCCTACCTGTGTATCCATTGACATGAATGGTAACCCCATCAAATATGCGTGAGCCTGTTGCAGCTCCAGCTATCTCAATGTTTCGAGGAGTGTCTTCCGTGAACTGTTCAGCTAGCTTCTGTTTCTTGGCATTCATATAACCCCCCTGGTAAAACCAAAGAACAAAGATGGAACAATTTGCATAACAACCACACCAGTTAACAGTGCTATGAATATATGCATACACACTTCATCACCTCGTGTTTGTAATGCTTCGATCCGCGCCGTACGACAGTATGGGCTTTGAATACACCCAAGGTGGAGACGGCTGAAACGTACACGTTCTGAACAAATGACGACAGACACCCACATGAAACTTGTGTCAAACATCGCCCTTTATATGAGAATTGCAATTTCAGAAGAAAAAAAAGAAGAAAAAAACCAATTAAGGCCAAAAAAAAAAAGTCTCCGGTTTCTGGTATGGAGCTTGCCCAAAAAGTGGTGCGGCGACGCGGCTTTTTTTTTTTTTTTACCTGATTTTTTTCGCTTCAAATGTCGGCTGATGACTGCAAATGGTGCAAATATATGGGGGTCCAGAGAGGCCACATAAAGCTTATTCTCGACCACAACCCCATCTAAAATACGTTAAAATTGTGCAGCAGCAGGATTCCAGTCAAACCAGTGAGTTTGGCGGTTTTGAGACATCATCTTTCATTGAAAAAAAAACGTTGTCATTTTGCCAACGCGCATGGCTACGGCGACGCGCGCGCATACCAGAAACCAGAGACTTTTTTTTTTTGGCCTAAACAATGGGATTTTCATTTGTCAGTATATTGTTAGTTATCCCGCGAGCGCGAGTGGAACATGGAATAATGTTGTGCATCTGTATCCCACATATGTGGGACACAAACACACTACATTTTCCGTGTTCCACGAGCGCGAGCGCGATAACGAATTTATCTTCAAGCAAACTTGACGCACTAAAAACTTTTCAGCGGTTATCCTTTTACACGTGCGTGTTTGTACAGAATGGCGAGCGCATCTCAGAATATTGCAATGCGCTGAGTGCGGTATGGACCGCGGCCGCGCTACACGGTTATATGTAGAACTGCTTGTTGCCATGGATCGACCAATCAGGATTGAGGATTCAAGTTTACTTGAAGATAATATTAGTGGCGATGTTTGACACAAGTTTCCACCTTTTCAAAGCCCATACTGTCATACGGCGCAGATCAGAGCAGGTATCATTACACAAAACAGTTGTTGATAGAGCGCGATGAATTTCTTCGATCGACGACGGTGATGTCACACACGCCCTAAACAAAAGAGCAGAGAAAGGGACTGGACTGAACAACTCTGCAAACACATTTAATTGTGAGCGGTAAGTTTTCAAACTATTTTGCTCTTTTTTTCAAAATTACCGCTGGATGGGAAAAATGTAAGGGGACTTAAATGGAATGTCATGAATGTGTAGATCTATCCAGGGTAACTGTCTTTCTCATTTGCATTCTCTTTACCGTTTTTTGGGGGGCCTTTTTGTCCTCGCGTGGGTATGAACAAAATGCTACCGTGTACCAGTCACCAAAATATGCCTATTCGGTGGAGCGCTAGTACGGAGGGAACCGTAGTTCCAGCGCTCCACTCAGTAGAGCTTAGCCCCATAAATGTGGCCAATTTACTGGACTACCTCCGTAAATAAAGGCCACACTTGGAACATGTACCTGAAAATTTAGAACTTTGTCAAACTTTTATTTTCAAAATTTTTCACAAACACTCACCCTCTTTAAAGCGATAGAAACTTAATCCCCCCTTTTTTAGATGTCTATATTTCGTGTAATTCCAGGTTCATTTTGCACATGTTAGCGTTACCTAAATTCCAACACGAAATTACAAATGGGGGATTATTTATCGCTTTAAAGAAGGTGAGTGAGCTTCTAAAGCATAAATAAACTAGAAACAAAGTCTAACTCATAAATGTGAAAACAAAACTTGCCAAAGTTCTACATTTTTGGGTAGGAGCATACATGTTCCAAGTGTAGCTTGAGTAAATCCAGCTCTAATCAGCATTAAAGCTGGAGTTACTCAAGCTAGTTGTAACTGGTTCAAGGTACATGTAGGCCTACTAACAGTCCATAGGTTCGCATTATGAATATTGGGTAATCCTTACTTTTAGGACCCCGTTCCTATATAGGAAGAGAAAGACTCACCAAAACAGTTGACTAAATGACACTCAAAATTGACATTCTGATACTTCTTGGCACATCTGATCAATTGGCAATGACACCTTCTTGAATAGCAGCAGGTTTAATTTTGTGGAAAGAGGGCAGGGCTTTGATTTATGGGGGAAATTCAGGGGTAAAAGATGACGATGACAACCAGAAAACAGACTCAAACAAGTCAGGTGTGTTTACAAACACAAATGCCCCGCAACCGTGACTGTTTCCATGACATAACACTACTCTAACATCAACTTACATGTACCTTGGTCAAATGGAACGTTCATTGACAGCATTAGTGTCTTCTGTAAGTTTTATATGAATTAATCCCTAATCCCTATGATCTCAGAATAAATATAAGATTTCTATTGTTTTAGCCACTGTGACCTTGACCCTTGACCTTTCGACCCCCAATACGATAGGCTCCTTAGGATTGCCAAGGACAATCCACAAACCAAATTTGAAGTTCATATGTAAAGTATATCTCAAGTTATCGCACTGACAAAATTTCTTTTGTTTTAGTCACTGTGACCTTGACCCTTGACCTTTTGGCCCCAAATGCAAAAGGCTTCTTAGAATTGCCAAGGACAATCCACAAACCAAATTTGAAGTTCATATGTAAAGTATTTCTCAAGTTATCGCGCTGACAAAATTTCTATTGTTTCAGCCACTGTGACCTTGACCCTTGACCTTTCGGCCCCAAATGCAAAAGGCTTCTTAGGATTACCAAGGACAATCCACAAACCAAATTTGAATTTCATATGTTAAGTATTTCTCAAGTTATCGCGCTGACAAAATTTCTATTGTTTCAGCCACTGTGACCTTGACCCTTGACCTTTCGGCCCCAAATGCAAAAGGCTTCTTAGGATTACCAAGGACAATCCACAAACCAAATTTGAAGTTCATATGTTAAGTATTTCTCAAGTTATCGCGCTGACAAGATTTGTCCGGACACACACACCCACACCCAGTCGTTTTTTGCTACGCTTCCGAGGATTGGCTTTGTGTTTTCCTTTGTCCCTGTAATATAACACTCTCCCATAGACTAAGCACACAAACCTGCGTTCGAGGACAATAGGCACCTTCCTTCGAGGATCAATGGCCCCTTTGTGCTCCTTTTGTTGTCTGTCCTCAGGCGTAATGCCATGCAGGAACACACCCACACACACAGTCGTTTTTTGCTATGCTTCCGAGGATTGGCTTTGTGTTTTCCTTTGTCCCTGTAATATAACACTCTCCCATAGACTAAGCACACAAACCTGCGTTCGAGGACAATAGGCACCTTCCTTCGAGGATCAATGGCCCCTTTGTGCTCCTTTTGTTGTCTGTCCTCAGGCGTAATGCCATGCAGGAACACACAGTCGTTTTTTGCTATGCTTCCGAGGATTGGTTTTGTGTTTTCCTTTGTCCCTGTAATATAACACTCTCCCATAGACTAAGCACACAAACCTGCGTTCGAGGACAATAGGCACCTTCCTTCGAGGATCAATGGCCCCTTTGTGCTCCTTTTGTTGTCTGTCCTCAGGCGTAATGCCATGCAGGAACACAACCACCCACCCACACACACACCCACACACCCACCCACCCACCCACCCACGGAAGGACAAGGCGGAAACAGTATGCCCCTTCGGCTTCGCCGCGGGGCATAAAAACAAAGATGGCAAACGTGAAAGCTCGATGCAATGAAAGCTCGATGCTGATTGGCTGATAAAAAATAAACATCTTCTTTTTCTTTTTTTTAGCAGCCCATCAGCATCGGGCATTCATTATGTAGGGCATTCATTATGTAGGGCTTTCACTGTGTGGTGTTGTGAGAACTACAACATGCACGTCTGACTGCGAAAAAAGGTAGGAAAGTCACATTTTCTTTGAAAGTGTTTTCAAAATTACAACTAACATGAGTTTATATGAAGAAAAAAGACTGCTTTAGCCTGCAAAAGTCACTTTTGTACTGGACAGACATCTGCAAAAGTCAGTTTTTAACAGAACTCGTAAAACATAGAGGTGTCCTAAAAGTAAGGATTACCAAAATAGAGGTGTCCTAAAACTAAGTAAGGATTACCGAATAGGGCCTAGGCTACTATGTATATAGCCCAGGTTGGACGAAGTCTTCATTGCATTACGACTGACGTCCAGGATGACAATTCTCTACATAAGAGTCTAGACCACCCAAAATTTGGACCAGAGTTTTGTTATGTTTTACCTCGTTATAGAAGCTTATTTCACATACTCTATGTGTCCTAAATCTATTGGTCCGGGGGGTTCAGGAATTCCATATGTGATGCTGGCTGACGTTAATCAGGAAAATAAACTCTAAAGCAATGTTAAACTTGTACAATGTATGTTTGTAGACTCTTTTCATCAGTTTCTCATCACCGTACCGCGTCGTACGAAAGCGCAAACGCTAGCGTCCTCCTTGGTTGTTTTGGTGGGAACGTGCAGTGACGTCACTCCAGCCAACCGAAGTCATGAAAACACTCCACCAATGACCAAAGCCGAAACATGTTTCTGGTCACGGTCGCTGAAACATGCCCGGTCATTGGATAGGCGACCGCGCTTACAAGTTAGTGCGCATAATTGTCAGGTCTGGGAACCAGACTAGTGGTTACTAAGCAAATCGCACGTGCGCACAGCGCGTTCACGCTGCACAGGAACGGACGTACCGGTACGTCATGCATGTACGACTAGACTCGGCGGTGAGCTGAGAAACTGATGAAAAGAGTCTACAACAACGTACAAGTTTAACGTTGCTTTAGAGTTTATTTTCCTGATTAAGGTCGGTCAGCATCACATATCATATGGTAGCTTGAGTAACTCCAGCTGACATGCATCCATATTCATTCACATGTAACGCTGGAGGCAAAACCTGTTTGTTGCAAGAGACCCTAAAAAAATGGCCTCTCAAAAATTGTTTATTTTCACCTCTAATATCCCACCCCAGAGTTCATTTACATACCTCATACATTCAGCAGTCATTTACGAAGCCAAATGATCGACTTGAAACAGACCACAACAAAAAAAAGTGAAAAATCTTGACGATTTCGGTGGCTTGTCCGTAAAAAAACGGCTGTCTTCCATTTTGTTTTGCTAATTATGTAAATGTATGCATCACGTGATGACATCAAAAAAAATGTGCGCGCGCGATGTATGTGGGTACCACACCGCTTTCAGACGCCGCAAGTGAGTTCAATTTTCGTCTGGTGTGTTGCCGCGGAAAGCATTCTCGTTGTCTTGCTTTCCGCGACAACGCACCAGACGAAAATTGAACTCACTTGCGGCGCCTGAAAGCGGTGTGGTACCCACATACATCACGCGAGCAGATTTTTTTTTGATGTCATCACGTGATGCATACATTTACATAATTAGCAAAACAAAATGGAAGACAGCCGTTGGAACTGTTCGCTCGTACCCCCCGCCCTGCAAACAGGATGCTGGGATACTCTGATGAGCTTCACAGAATCTTGTGAAGGAAGTGGCCTATGACCTATGTATAAAGCATCTGGCTGCAGCTGTTCAAGACCGCAGTTAGACAATGTGCGCAAATGCTATCCGAAAACTTCCCATAAAACTTTGCGCACCTTCCATACCGGATGTGATTTCTGTTTCATTGCGGACCATGTGGACAAAATTTTGAGCGTCACATAATGCAATCTGACCGTTCGTGATTCAAAACGGAGCCTGAGCGAGTGACGGGAATTGTAAATTTACAACACAGATAAGTTTTACAGAATTTCCTACATTATTACGCTTTTCAACGAGAAAAAAAACCACCTCTAAACTGGAATACAAGAATAATGAATCAGTCTTAACGGCCGTTTCAAACCTTGCAGAGTCATGACCTTGATGACGCGCAGGTCACTTGTGACGTAAAATCCAACCAATCAGAGCGTGAATTCATCAGAGTATCCCAGCGTCCTGTTTGCAGGGCAGGGGGTACGAACGAATTGGAACTGGCGTATTTTTACTGACAAGCCACCGAAATCATCAAGATTTTTCACTTTTTTTTTGTTGTGGTCTGTTTCAACTCAAGTCGATCATTAGGCTTCGTAAATGACTGCTAAATGTATGAGGTATGTAAATGAACTCTGGGGCGGGACATGTGGGATATTAGAGGTGAAAATGAACAATTTTTGAGAGGCCATTTTTTTTAGGGTCTCTTGCTACCACATTCTAACGAACAGGTTTTGCCTCCAGCGTTACATGTGAATGAATATGGAGCATGTCAGCTGGAGTTACTCAAGCTAATCTAGCTCTACTGAGTGGAGCGTTGAATTACGGGTACCCCTCCATACAAACGCTCCACCGATTTGACACCGTCACAGTAGCAACTAGTCCGAAACTTTGGGACTCTCAATACTGTGTATGAGAGTCCCAAAACTTAAGGTATTGAAAACATGCAAAACAAGAAAATAGACTGGCACCTGAAACAACCAGTCTTTCAGTACAGCATCAATCAACCGTGCCAAAAGAATTTAAGAAACATGTGGCATGAAGCGGGAACTAGTCTCAATTTACTACACATTTCTCCATAGTAAAGCCACCAGACTATTGACACTGAATGAAGAGGTCAGTCTTTCCAAATAGTTGGACCATGGTTGGACATGTACCAGTCTAGTCTTTAGCCCCATTTTGGAATCACTTGACTTCCCTCTCATGTGCAAAATATTGAAGAAAAGTCTCCTTTAAAAATTGAATGAGTCTGCAAACTTGGTAGGTGGAATACTGAGGACATGTTCTTTGCCCCAGTGCATTTTCTGGAGAAATTTGCTGGCTAAACTGTGAGTAAAGTGGGCCTGATTTAGTTTTGCACGTTTCAGAGCACTCCAGAGCCTAGCCCGACTGCGTCTGGCCGTACAGTACTATCGCAAGCTCTGTAGTACGGCCAGACGCCCGATGCTTCCACAGAGACTGAATTTTGTTGGCCGCCGATGTAGCGATTTTGCTACATCTTTCGATCGCGATTATCTTTTCATCCAGGATACAAATTTCCAAAGTTAAGGTTTTTAGTCGTAGAGCAACTCATACCTTTTCGAAAAAACGTTCTTTGGTCTCAATATTTTCATCCATCTGGCCACAAGACGAATTTCAGTCATCAGATTCCACAAATATCGTCCCCCATGCGATCCCCCATGCGATTTCAAAATGGCGGCCGCGCTGTAATGTATGCAATATGCAGGCGCGCCCGCGCAAACTCATGAATATGCATAATTAATCTGTGACGTATGACCTCGTGTTTTTGGACGTGCATGCAGCGGGGCCGTACGGTCATACGTCACAGATTAATTATGCATATTCATGATTTGCGCGGGCGCGCCTGCATATTGCATACATTACAGCGCGGCCGCCATTTTGAAATCGCATGGGGGATCGCATGGGGGATGATATTTGTGGAATCTGATGACTGAAATTCGTCTTGTGGCCAGATGGATGAAAATATTGAGACCAAAGAACGTTTTTTCGAAAAGGTATGAGTTGCTCTACGACTACCAACCTTAACTTTGGAAATTTGTATCCTGGATGAAAAGATAATCGCGATCGAAAGATGTAGCAAAATCGCTACATCGGCGGCCAACAAAATTCAGTCTCTGTGGAAGCATCGGGCGTCTGGCCGTACTACAGAGCTTGCGATAGTACTGTACGGCCAGACGCAGTCGGGCTATCCAGAGCCCTGTCTGAGTAGCAACTAGCATAGTCACAAACCCACGCGAGGACAAAAAGACCCCCCAAAAAAACGGTAAAGAGAATACAAATGAGAGAGACAGTTATCCTGGATTGATCTATACATTCTTGACATTCCATGAGACCCCTTATATTGTTCCCAAACAGCGAAAAATTTGGGGAAAAAACAGCAAAATAGTCTGAAAACTTACAACTCAATGTGTTTGCAGGGAGGCTCAGTTCTTGAATCGACTTGTCGAATTATGAGGGCGTCTGACGTGACGTCACCGTCGTTGCTCGATCGCGAAGAAAAATAAGTCGCGCTTTATCAACGACTGTTTCGTGTAATAATACGTGCTCCGATCCGCGCCGCGCCGTACGACAGTATGGGCTTTGAACACACCCAAAAAGCACGTATCATTACACAAAACAGTCGTGGATAAAGCGCGACTTGTTTTTCTTCAATCGAGCAACGACGGTGACGTCACGTCAGACGCCCTCATTCGACAAGTCGATTCAAGAACTGAGCCTCCCTGTAAACACATTGAGCTGTAAGTTTTCAGACTATTTTGCTGTTTTTTTTTCAAATTTTTCGCTGTTTGGGAACAATATAAGGGGTCTCATGGAATGTCAAGAATGTATAGATCAATCCAGGATAACTGTCTCTCTCATTTGTAATCTCTTTACCGTAATTCAACGCTCCACTCAGTAGAGCTAAAGCTAATCATATCCTGAACCCAGCGGCCCAATAGATAAGGACACATACTGACATAGAATACTACAACGTAAAAATTGGCTTCTCCAACAAGGTTAAAATATTGAACATATTGGTCATATTGAGCACTTCATATCCTGGACTCCCTCCGTAACGTAGGGAGGAAAGGGAGTCCACCTGGGCTACAATGTAGGCCTATATTGAATATTGAAAAAGTAAGTCACATTTTGTCGAAAATTTGACGCAAATGCACCGAACTTACCCATTCTCCCCAGCCATTGTCACCCAAGGATCTTTTGCCACCACGTCCTCTACTCATGACTGATTGGTGGCAGTCTGGCAGTACACTTTTGTCAACGCATTTATTGGGCAAAAGTGGAAATTCCAACGAAAATTATCCCGTTCCAAACACACACGTGAAACGCTTGTCAATCATCGTAGTACGCGCGCGCGTAAACGCCCTCTGTCGTTTCTCTTATCCAAAAAAATAATACTGTGTTTGACTCACATGCACCCCTAGTATTAAAATTCCGAAAACCCAAAATTCCCACCAGTGCTAAATGCCCATACTTCAAAATTCCTTTAAAAATACTCAGAACTTTCATGTAAGCTGCACTGAAATATGATGATCAACATGTTATCCTTCATTTCCTTTTCATCTTTTGGTTGGTTGACCATTGACTTTTCGAGAAATTCTCACCCAACTGGAAGACGGACCCCTGGTTTTCCCCGGCGAAGAGGAAAAGTAGCCATCTTGAAAAACGATCCTTCGGCCTCAATTGAACATGGCAAAATAGCGCCACTTTCGAGCCCAATTGCATCCAAAATGTCCCGGCCAGAGGCAGAGTTGTATGACTCGAATCAATTACTCGACTAGAGTCCGACTCGAGTCAAAATTTTTGGTGACTCGACTCGAGTCCAAGGGCAAATGACTCGACTCGACTCCGGTCACTGCGACGGTCCCTCATCAGAATGACTCGATTCGACTCGAGGAAGGCTAGTCGGACTCGAGTCCCCGACAAAAAGCATAAAGGAAAACTTTGCGAAAAATATTTGCAATGACTGACGCCGGTGCCGGTTTTTGTTCACGTAATAATGTATAGGCCTACATATTTATACGTGGTTTGATCAGTGTCCCCATTAGTTGAATGGCGATCAGCTGGCCGCCCCTTTTCATTTTCATTAAGAGTTAAATGTGGGGTCGCCACATGTAGTAGCCAGAATGTAAAATTAAAAAGCGAAAAAAAAATAAAGACTTTCTCTCTTGTGTTTATTTATTGTATAGCGTTCAAATATTTGTGACTCGAATTGACTCGAGCTAAATACGGCGACTCGGCTACACAAAAAGCTGTGACTCGACTCGACTCGACCTTCTTGACCTAATGACTCGACTCGACTCGAGCCACTTCTTTAAAATGACTCGACTGGACTCGAGTCACAAAAATCCGAGTGACTTACAACTCTGCCCCCCCCCCCCCACCCACCCACCCACACACCCTCCCACTATTTGATTTTACGGAGGCCAAGTGTCCGGAGAAAAAAAAACGTGTCTACATTTCAAGTGCCCTTTTCAAGAAATGTTTACCCCCAATAAAAATGACCGTGCTACGCCACTGAAACGGGTGAGGAGAAATCAGGAAATTCAGAAACAGTCAAACAGTGCTGATCAACATTTGCAAACAACTTGAACACATTGCGAGATCATTCCGGGGAAAAAATATCTCTGACAATGGGCCGCAGTTCTCATGCAAGTGAACGATTTCAGAATTTATGCAAAAAAAATACGCATTCAATCATGTATATTCATCACAAATTTTTCCTCGCAACAATGGAAAATCTGAAAAGACTGTAGTTCAGCCTGATTGCCAAAAAAAACCTTCAAACAAATGCAAAAGAATATGGGACAGATCTAGTCCGAGTAACTTGGACCCAACTTATCGCCTTTTTAACATTCGGACATGGTCTGGCGATAGTAAGGTCCAAGCTAATAGTGCAAGCTGGACAACATCATCCTGTCACTGTCCCAAAAACCAACATTTTCAAACAAAAACCATCAGATTTCACCTTCAAAACGGCCTTCAAATTACTAGATATGCCACCTGAGGTACAAGTAGACATCGATGATTAAGATGGTTGTACTGAAGTTTACTTACGATCCGGAAGAAAACTGAAATTTCCCGTTCATTTCTGAGAGCTCCCCTCGCGATCTTGAACACGTTAAATTTCCGATCGTGTTAATGTTTGAACGACGCGATTTCTTCTTCATGCCCAGCGTACATTCGATGGTCCCCGTATCCCGAGTGCGATTCCGTTACCGAGCGCGCGCGATGCATCGATTATGATAATAAGTCACGTTGGTAAACACATGTGCATTTCGAACTGTAAAAGGGAATCGGGAACCAGCTTGAACTGGTATCCGCCATAAAAACTCCCTATTATCGTTCGAAATGCACATGTGTTTACAAACGTGATCCAGTCTATCATTATCATAATCGATGCATCGCGCGCGCTCGGTAACGGAATCGCACTCGGTATACGGGGACCATTGAATGTACGCTGGGCATGAAGAAGAAATCGCGTCGTTCAAACATTAACACGAGTCGGAAATTTAACGTGTTCAAGATCGCGAGGGGAGCTCTCAGAAATGAACGGGAAATTTCAGTTTTCTTCCGGATCGTAAGTAAACTTCAGTACAACCATCTTAATCATCGATGTCTACTTGTACCTCAGGTGGCATATCTAGTAATTTGGAGGCCGTTTTGAAGGTGAAATCTGATGTTTTTTTTTGGAAAATGTTGGTTTTTGGGACAGTGAAAGGATGATGTTGTCCAGCTCGCACTATTAGCTTGGACCTTACTATCGCCAGACCATGTCCAAATGTTAAAAAAGGCGATAAGTTGGGTCCAAGTTACTCGGACTAGGACAGATCCATACTTGGCATTGCTAACCATCGAAAGTCGAAACAGCCTGGCACAAGATGTCCATGCAAAGACGAACAAGGACAACAATTCCAACATATAGTAGAACTAAAGGTAAAGTAAGTGAAAACTTGTACTGTTAAAAATGCCCGTAAATTTACGGACTCCGTAAAGTGAAATATTCCGTGTTTTCGGCGTAATTTTACGGACTTTCCGTATTAAAATGCAAATATTAATTATGCTAATTAGCGCGATTACAATCAACCACATCGGCCCAAACACCTACACATAATATAGCACATCTAAGTACATATTGTTATTTCACCCACAACCGTGTACACATGTCCAAACTCATGTTAAGGGTTTGTTTATTTTACGGAATGAAAAAACTTTTCCGGAAATTTTGCTGCCAGCAAAAAAATGGCGTTCCATTTTCCTGCAGGTGTCTACCACATCGGGTCAATAACCCTGCACAATAATCAACCAGCAACATCAAAAGAAATACTTTGACAGAGGCACACAAGAACTTCGTCGTCTATACAAGTTGGAGAAACCCGTGCATTCCTTTGATGAGAAGATGCTTTGGATTTGTGGCTCGTACGAATAATTTAGCAAATTTGTTTAATAAAACTACGGCATTTTTGGTTCGTACTGGAAAATCTGCAAATACGAATGAATTAATATATAATATTTTGGTATTTTAATCTTTCTTAATCGATTTTTACAGTGAGTTTGGACAATCGAGGCAATAACTACACAAAATCGGACTTTTTCAACGTTAAAAATATCCCCCCGAATAAGTGGGCGGAGCTTTAACTTATACTGTAGGGGGCCTATTACTACTACGCAGTTGCCAACAGTTATTGAGGCACATGTGAAGATCAATTCAAGACAGGCTGGGAAGACAAAATATTGAATGATTTTTAATCATCAACACAAAAAGAAGTGATAGCTAACATTGAAATTAAAATTGGTGACACTAGGCTAGAGTACGTGTCAAACTCGGAGCTCGACGTCAAGTTAAAAGTGCCGGCAAAATTAAAAAGAAAGTTCAAAATTAATTGAAGAATTACATTTTGTTGATCGAATATAATACAACAATGTGCTGCTACATGCGTACATTTTAATTTATATCGAAGTATTCATGCATATGAATAATTCAAAATATTTTTTTAATAATATGAAACTATATTCCACTGTTTTATATAATCACCTCATAGCAATTGTCATTTTGAAAAAAAAATGAATATAAATACTAGCATACTGACTTATAATGCCAATTGTAAACTAAAAAAAATTATAATAATACATCATGACCAGAGTGATAATTTTTCACATCTTCAATGCGTTGGTCGAAATGCCCTGAGCATATCGGGGGCTAACTAAAATGAGTTTTTCGGGATAACCAGGGTTGCCATGGAAACCAAGTAAATCCTTAACAATCGTTTAAAAACTATAATCGGCCGAAATGGTAAAGCAGTAAGCTGTATCACTATCAGCGAAACAATATAAACATTCATGTTCATTGTGAGGAAAATCAGCTGCAGAGTAAAGAAAACTGTTTTTAAATCGATTCTGTAGTCCCAATACCTCCACGGATTTTTCAAAAATGACCAATGGAAAAATCGAGCGTCCCCTATAGCGTTAAATAAGGTCACTCGGTGCTCCCCCCCGGCTGTGTGGCCCCTATCCACCCCCCCCCCCCCACCTTCCTATTTTTTTGATGCGCCACTATTAAATGCTATATTAATAAGGGAATAAATGTGTGCTTGGGAAGTGTCAAACAATATGTAATAGAGTTCGTGTTTGCTAAGATTCATCCACTTCTCGTGTTTCCAGTCGCTTTAGCACGGGAGAAAGAAGCATTTGTAGAGAGCAGGCGAAGGTTATCCCCGCTAAGATGAAGAACACTGTCTTGTAGCTCAACGTCACATCATACAACCAACCTTTGAAAGACAGGAACATTAGTAGTCAGTCATATCAGCCCTCTGGTCATAATTTGACCAACATAGGACTCGGACTGTATAGGGTCGGTACCAATGCTGTCGAGTGTTCAAATTACACCGTGTACACCATTTAAAATATACCACGAAATGCCGTTGCCGAGGCTTTTAAAGGGTCCATAAAATGAGTTGTTCATATTACAGTCGAGCACCTTTATAACAAGGTCCTTAATTGGGACTTTACGAAATACCTTGTTACAACAGCTACCTTGTAACAGTAATGGAAAACAAAGGAAAGCAAAGAAAAACAACGACTTGGGAACTACAATTGACCTTAAAATGTTGCCCTGTTATAAGCAGGTCCTTGTGTTAACAGTGCTCTTTTTATTAGGATTCGACAGTATAGAGGAAATTTTTTGTGCAACATTTTTACGCCTCTAGTATAAAAACTATTTTGACATATCCCTTGTTCGATCTATTTCATTGAAAATTCACTTCTTCAAACATTTTATATAGTTCATGTATTTCGTATCTGGACAACTGAGGGCGCTGTTGCTGTGATGTCATTTCAGAAAGACACTATTCAGTTTAGGGCTTTT